TATGCCAAATATCAGCGAGATCCATGCAGCCGTTCTGAAGATACCTTATAACAAACATCTATTTAGACTTTCGCATTTATACTATTAATAAGATTGCTGCAGCAGTTATTTGGTAATTTTCCATTGTCCAACAAAAACTTGATGGAACAACAAAATAATGAGAACAATTTAAAAATATTTCGCAACTTTCCTATTTGCAACAAATCTATAAATTGTCAGCACTTTTATTTACATGGATATTTAAATAAGCATATTATATGACACCGTATTATATTGTAATTTACATATTAATAAAATGCTAAACGACAATTTTGTAAAACTGCATGTAATCATAATTGTACGTTGACACGATTTACTGTACACTTATAGATTAAAATGAAATGTAAAACATTAAAACAAATTCAATTCCCACTAACGATGAAACATTTTAATAAATTTTCATACCGATTTTAATCAACTCATCTCTAGTGAATTGTCAAACTAATCTATCTTAAACTAGCTGTCGCCCGCGACTCTGTCCGCGTAGATATACAAAAAAACCTGATTTAAATCGATAAGAAACTTACGCAAACACATACATCATAGAGGTTACTAGTTGACTTAAAGTCCTATGTCCACGCAGTGGGGCAGAGGGCGTCCACAGTGCGCCGCCAGTTCGCTCTATCCTGGGCTCTGCGCTTGGTCTCGGGCCATGTCAGCCCAATCGCCTTCATTTCGGCAGCTACTGATCGCCGCCAAGTTTGTTTAGGACGGCCAAGTCTTCTTGTTCCTAGCAGGATCCACTCCAGGGCTTCCCTGGGAATATGACTGGGATCCCTACGAAGCGAGTGGCCAATCCATCCATCATAGAGGTTAGCATTCATATTATTTTGTGACGTCATCGAATTTTAATTATCAGGTTAATTGGAACAAAAGACAAAGTATCTCATTAAGGATCATGAGAATATTTTTTTTAATTACAAAAATAACAACACTTAAACGGCTTTGGCTTTTGTTTCCTTTCGCCTTGAATTAATGTCGACTGTAGGAAAATATTAACAAAGACCTTTTGGATACAAACACGGGTAACAACGACAAAGAGTTTTAAAATCAAGAACGTAAAATATATATTTAATATAAATTATTTCATACATTTTCCTTAGGCGTATGGCAAATAACGTATGGGGTCGATTTCTTTTATTATTTAGTTTTATTTTTAGTTTGGTTTTAGTATATAGTTTATTTAATATAGTATTAATTTATTTATTTATTTTGTAGTGGTTAGTTATTTAGTTAGGTTATATTTTTGTTCACTTTTTTTATAACAGAAGGGGGCAAACGAGCAGTGGGAACACCAAGGTGTTCCACGACGTCCATGGACATACTTGTTGTTATTTTATATTATATGTGTTTGCCTTTAACATTGTACATAAAAAAATACTAGAGATGTCAAATAAATATAAATTTCCAAAACATTCGTACAAATTTTCTCTTTATATGATTAGCCACCCTTAACTTAGGGTAGGCACCGAGCTCCTCGGTGGGGACGTATAGTGAGCTGATGATGATTAGCATTTATTGAAGTCTGTTCGTAACTGGATTTTGAACAGCTCGTGAGTTAATCTACACTAAGGGACTTCCTTAATGGACAATTAGTAGCAGTAAGTTTCACAAAATTATCACACGACAACTGATACCATATTTCCTATAACGATAAACTGTCTTGACAATTGAGGAAACGACTAAATAATCAAACGTATACTTAAGTCGTTACTACACGGTAACAAACATTACGATATGGTGACTGCTTAGTGCGTTAATACCCTTATTTAATCATCATTACATTACCCTCATCCCTACAGGTCGGCACAGTATGTACTCCTCTTTACATCTCTACATCAGCTCACTATACGTCCCCACCGAGGGTCTATGAGTCTACCCTTAGTTAGAGGTGACGTGACTATAGTCAACCACGCTGGCGAAGTGCGGTTTGGTTGACTTCACATCTCTATTAGCCGTCATATCTGAATCCACCCTATTCTTACGCATAACGTCTTTCACACAATCCATCCATACTTTCTTTAGCCTTCTACCTTTGTAGCTATCCACATTCAATCTCATTACTTTTTTGTTTATGTGATCATCCACCCTATGTACATGTTCAAAACACGCTAACCTTTTGCTCCTCAATTTCTCGACCACTTTTATATAGTTTAACTAGCTGTCGCCCGCGACTCCGTCCGCGCGGGATTAAAAATAGCTCAATATGCTCACAAAATTTCATGAGAATCGGTCAAGCCGTTTCGGAGGAGTATGGGAACGAAAATTTTATATATAAGATTAAAAAAATAGTTAAAACTAGGAACTGTACAGTATAACTAAGTAACAAAGTTAACCATACACGTACCTTTTAACTGATCAGTACGAATTTAATTATTTAAAATTGTGCAGTTAAAAACTGAACGTGTGTGGCTGGTTTTAGACAAGATTTATATATTGTATGCAAAAACAAATTAGTAATTCATGATCTTTTTTCACCTTTGCATTATGAATGCATTTTCTTTGCCATACGCCTAAGGAAAATGTTTGAAATAATTTGAAAGTGTTCCGCGAAAAATGACTAAAGTTGAACTCCAAAATTAAATTACTAATATCGATTTCTAGCCACAATCCGTCTTTGCGGTTATTAAAGGGAAAATTTTATGGTATTTCCATTATTTTTTTTTTCATCATCATCATCATACTCAGCCTAAACTTGTCCACTGCTGGACGTAGACCTCCCCCATCGATTGCCACAATGACCGGTCCTGTGCCTGTCCTGTTTTTTTATACTAGCCTATTTTTATTAAATTGTTCCTTATAGGCTATGTAACATCTATGCCAAATTTTTGCGAGATTCACGCAGCCGTCCTGATTCAAAAATCCATCCATCCATACGGCAAAAAAATTATCTTTAATGATATTAGTAAAATTCCCTAGCAACATCTTAATATCAGGCCGTTTATCTAAATTAAAGTTTAAATATTAAACAATATGATTATGACCTATGATAAGAAGTGTTTTGTTTAAAATTTTGTGGCTTATCTTTAAGGAAAAATAATTATATTATTGTTTAATGACATTATTTTGATAACCAATTAATTAATTCATCTTTATCACTCCTTGCGTGTTTCATAAGCAATTTATCTGCAAGCAAGTCTTTAAAATTATCCACGATTTGACCTCTGTGCGGATCAATTTAAAAGATGATCATTTGACGTCATTATAGACATTACTAAAAGAAGCAGGCCGCAAATAAAATATAAGTTGTCTCTGGTAACGTCTTAAAAAAACGACAACGTTCCAAATTCAAAAAGCGTCCATTCCTTTTCGATCACGCAGCGAGCACGTGACAATCGCATGGCGTGTAGAGAGCTCAGCTGCTGAGTGGACTTTGGACCCGAGCTACAATCACCGGTGAATAACGTGCCTCGATTTAGCGCAGATCGTATTATTTTCATTGAACTAGCTACCGCTAGGCTTGCAATAGTTAATAATGTCGTAATCTCGTATTTTACTTCATTAAAGTTTCAAAACGATATATTTTATTACACGTCGCTTGTTATTTCAGGACCAATTATAGACAGATTATAATTACCTTTGCAATAAAATTGTGGATTTAAATCTAATTTATGGTTTTGTGAAAAATAATTATTATAATGATGAGCAACAAAGAAATATTTTTTATTACTTCTATTGTCACGTTGAATAATACAAAATTATAAATTTTATAACGCTTTAAATTCCTATATATAAAAAATCTTACAGGCACATCTTACCTTGTTATTCTTACGTTACTATATTATGAAACAACACAGCAAATGGAATGAAAACCAGTAAATTTTAACAACAATTCCATACCTATATTACATATTTAAATTTGTTATCAGTTACGCGAAATCTTTACCTTAACTACTATTTTCTTAGTACCTAACACAAAATACGTACCATCCTTAATCTCTTTACTAAACTACGTAAAAAACGTCTAAAAACTTCATATAATAAAAGATTCCGAATCTCTGTTCATTACTGTTCCGATAAAAATAACTCCTCATTGGTATTGTATCAAACTTTATGTCGGCTCGCAATTTCCCACGAGGTGAATCGCACAATAATTTTAATTATTAACTAGTTTCAAATAATTACGTGGGAAACCCCAGTGCGTGCTTTTTTTCATCCGGAATGGGCTAACATCCTTAACATGGGCCGTCATAATTTTTGAATCTTATAATACTTATCAGAGAACATCAAAACAGCCTATATTCACTTTGGAAACAATCCCATGCATACCAAGCAAAGAATTTTAGCGCCAATATGTTTGATTTTAGATTCCTACAGAATGCGATCGCATAGTAATTGACTACATTTTGTTTAACGCAAAGACATCGAGCTTTGCATTTAGGAGCCTAAACAAAAAACATAAACAAAAACAAAACGCATTCCAGCATATCTTGAAGGTATGATAAATTTAACTTTTCAGTAGTACCTATTAGACGTCGTTAAATTACCAATAAAGAAAATATTCGTGTAGTTTTCGTCGTTTTTTTTTAATGTCATTACTTAAGTAAATGAATAATATTGGCCGGTATGAAAACGAATGTATAATTAAAATAAAGTAACCTTATTAAATGAAAAAAATATACGTAATGTGAGCGAACAATGCCGAGTCCAAAGTCCGCAAAGGTAGACTCGATTGAAGTGTGAACGTGACTTGGTTTTCGACGATAGTTAATAGTTTCACTTCATTTGACAATTGATACTTGGTAAAAAAAAATCGTGCTATAATTGCCTTATGAAATACAAAAACATGAAATAATGTTAATAAATGACATAATAAAGCAGTTAATTTCATAAAAATATTAACTATAACTGTTTATGCAGCGAATAATAGTAGTAAACAAAGACATAACCAACTTTCATAGTAAAAAAATGTATGATATTAAAATGCTGTAATATAATGTAATATTAAAAATAAAACTTACTTTTTCCAGGCAATCTTGTCCAATAGAGTTGGGATCCACTTTGACTTCCAAAATCACAGAATTCGGCTGACTAACTAACCACATTTTGGATAATTTATTGAAATCAAAACCGAAAACTAAATGAAAATATTTAGGTCGAACGTTATTAAATTACTAATACACGTTGAGTTTACACTAAATTTTCAATGTTTATCTCACTCGCGTGAAAAATTTGTTTAAAAATGTCTTTCGCAACACGCTCTGTGAAATGTTTATCGCGTATTCTTTGTGGAAGTAAAACTGTGAATACTTCCATACGACGGCCATACTATGTTAAGTTTGCCACCGAAATGATAAAGAAGTGACGTCGTGACGCAGCAACTGACTTTTGTCGCGGTTCTTAACCTTTACGTTACTAAAGGTGTAATTCGTATTTGTATTATTACCATTGCTTGTTGATAAGGTCACGCACTAACAGATGTTCATTATAACACAGCAATGGAATTTGCGAATTGATAACAGTTTTGACGTAAAACTTTCACAGGTAACAAGAGTTGTTTCTCTTTCATTATTTAATCCTAGAAAGAAAGAGACAGAACTAGTACTCTTAATTTTCCCCAAAGCTGAGTGCACACTTACTTAAATCACGGTAAGCAACAATTGCACACAATGTAAATTATAATTATTTACTACTATCATAATCCTAAGTTACATTAGTAAAAAGCTATCTTTTTAATTTTTTTAGATGTTCAAAGTAAACTAAAACTAACTAACAATAAATAACTAAATAGCCAATGTTAAGACAATAGTTTCATTAGTTCCAATTTATATACTTTCCTAATATTACAATTTTTACTTTATAATTAAATAATTTATTAATACATTAATTAATTTAATAATTTATTTTTACAAATATTAAAAGAAAAAATTTAAAATGAAAAAATTCTTTCGTCAAAGCAAATTTTCATTAATACGAAGTTTACTGAAAATAATAACAACGCCACCTTTTGTGAAACTAATGTGTAACATTTTATTTTTCTAGCAACATTTCTGTTTTTGCTACGAACATTCCGTTACAAGTTGCTTCTTTTGAGTTGATTTTTTTTAAAGATCCGATTTAAGTTTCCGTAAATAATATTTTTTAGATTTCTAAATTATATCACATTGTACAAATACACAAAATTAGGATTTCAACTGAAAAATATTATGCTCCTTCGAATAAAATCAAAATTTTAATTAAATTTCAATCCGTTTCACGCACAGTAAAGTGAGCACGAGCTGCTGACAGCGCCAATTGTGACAACATGTAGGAATTAAAATAATCATATGACTCTTTTCCTTTGCGACCCAGTCAGCTATCGATTTGTGTCTTGGTCTCAGTTCTTATAACACATTTTTGTGCATATTGTTAGAAATGGCGAGCCAGACACAGGGGATCCAACAATTATTGGCTGCTGAGAAACGCGCCGCTGAAAAGGTCTCCGAGGCGAGAAAGCGTAAGTTGATTATTGTGTTAATTGTTCATTGCCAATTTAATTGCCAATTACATGTTCTGTTGTCTATATCGTTTGTAAAAGGTATTTATAACTGATATATGGCGTATAAGATTCGAAATTAAAATTTGGGCGTAGTCTTCAAATCGTCACATGATTATGACCATGAGATCTTTTGCGATCTAGATAAAATACCTCTATATTCTAGTTAAAAACTATTTGTTATACGACTGATCCTAGCGCACCATAGAAGATATTTAACGTTATTAAACATTATGAACTGTATAAAATATTCGTATACCCTTCCCATACAAGACAATGGATCAAAAAATTTTATAAAATTATGGTCTTCTTATGTAAGTTTTGGAAATCAAAGGCTGGAGGTAAACAGGCATCTGTCCTCCCATAAAACTTACAATAAACCCTCTGAAGGTTAAAGTATTACTTCCAATTCTAGTTTTTATAAACTTTCCTCGGTTCATAAAGGTTTGTGAAATGTCACCAATTTGCCGTGATATTGTTGATAATGATCACAACAAATGGTAAGCTTATTACCACACTGTGTTTTGCTATTTTAAACTTATTGAAATAAGTAATAGTATAAATCAATTCCGCTGATAATCATAAAAAAATAACCAGAACACTGTTATATATTTCTCTGTAGTAGAAGTCCTGTTACATTGCTAGAGCAAATACACAAATTATACACTCATATGTACATCTTTTCCATTGCGTGTGTTGCCTAAACAGCTTTAAGATAAAATCATGTTTTATTCAAAATTCTTCTTCTGTACCACTGCAATCTTATCAGAATTGTCATGGTAACTTACCTCCTTCACAAGCTGTGAACATCTGTTCTAATCTAGTCAATTTAAATATTACAGGAAAAGCGAAACGCCTAAAGCAGGCCAAGGAGGAGGCTCAGGATGAGGTTGAAAAGTACAGACAGGAACGCGAGAGGCAGTTCAAAGAATTTGAGGCCAAGGTACACTTAACCTTTCCATTTCTTATTACAAAGTATTTGAAGTAATGGCAAGAAACTGAACTGCTACTTCTTTCAATATTAATAATATTTGCCCTACATGTTCCTTAATTTTAAGATCTTTACATTTATTTCTTGTAATCTCATTTTATCAAGCACAACTAGGCTGGAACTCAAAAGGAAGACTTTGTGACTAGTGACAGATCTTTTTTAAACCTTGTATCAAATGTTTCAATTAATTAAATGTTTTTGTTTCACTCTTATAGCACATGGGTACTAGGGAAGGTGTGGCCGCTAAAATTGATGCTGAGACCCGGGTTAAGATTGAGGAGATGAACAAAATGGTCCAGAACCAGCAGGAAGCTGTAAGTACCTTTTTATAAGTTATATGTACTTTTAATATTCATATAATATGATAGGTATCTATTGAAGAAACAATTTTAGAAGAAAAAATTGTTTTCTGTGAAAAAAAACAATTAAAAAGTTATTGTACCGCGTAGTTATGGGATTCAAATACTTTTAAACCATGATTTTCCTTCTTTACAAGATGTTGAAATAAATAACAGTAAAAAATTGGAAGTACCACTGCAATAATCTTTCTTTTCAACAGCTTAGTCTTCATGCTTACATAAATACACTTGTGGAGCGTTCCACGCCAAGTGGACAGTCAAAGAAAGTTGATGTTTCTGTTTTAAGAAATATTTGATTATGTTCTACCTAAACATGTCCTAAATAGTGTATTAATTTTTTTATCTATTGACTGTTTAAAGAATTAAGAAACTTGTGAAGACGCGGCACTTCAAATTAGAAAGGAACGCTCCTTGTATATATACCTTTAATTGTGAATAAATTTTTAACTGTTAACACTTTCAGGTAATCACTGACATCCTCAACTTGGTGTATGATATCAAACCGGAGCTTCATGTTAACTATCGCATACAATAAGTCAATGTTATTGTTATGGTTAAATTCGCATCTTTAAAATCTTAATGCGAACTCAATTATTATAATTCTTATTGTTATTACACTGTTTTAAATCTGTAGGCATTTGGCACAATTTTAGAGCGCGTAAACGTCAAAGTGACAGTCGCGCGGCGAGGGAAATGCAAATGGCCGCCATACTCGATATGTAAGAAACGAGTTTGCTTATTTTTTCCCCTTATTAAATTAATTATTACTAAATATTAATAATGTTTACTCTGAAATCAGCTCGATATCATTCCAATGAGAAAAAACGTCAACATCGGTCCGCTATGAACGCATATTTTAACTTATATTATTCCATGTTGTATGTTTAATAGAAATAAATGAATGTTTAACTATGAAGATTTTGAAAGTTTTTTTTTATCTTCAACTTTATCGAGTAGAAAGTTGGTGTACTTTATTAGAAGAAATATATTATTGATGTAACATATTATTGTTTCATTGCTGTTTTCAGTTAAATTTTCTCTGGATATTTTGATTCTAAATATCTGAAAAACAAAACCGACATTTATTTACCCTGTCAGACACATACTTTTTTAAGGTTTCGTTAATGTTGCCAGTATAAATAAGGATAGTAGCGATGTTTTAAAAAAAAGTAGATACCTTGTTTTTTTCCTAGCGTCAACATTAGTCAACCAATCGGACACCGCTCCAACAGAAGTAAATACCGCGGGTTTGTCTGGCTTATCACATCTCTTGGCGGAGAACGACAGTATACCTACTAAGACACCATCCATTATAGCTGGACCTCCCGCGTCATGCTGTGGAGTGAGTAATCAAGGGTCTAAGTTATATCACTTTTTTAGAACTGACAGTAGGACGTTTAATGTTAAGACCTGCTTTTATTCAATGATTAGCCGCATACGACCCCTATTTCTATAGTATGTAATCTTATTTTCACTAGCTGCTGTACGAAGTGATGGTTGCACCTGCTGCTTAGTGGAATAAGGGTCTTATTTTTCGTATTACTATTGGAATGTATGGTAATGTCATTTACCGGTTTATTTGTTGGGTCTAATAGAGCTTCTCTTTTATCTACGATCACGAGTCACTTGATACTTATCTTTATCTAATTCAAATATGTTTATTATGTAATTCACGGAACGTGTTGAAAGTAAAGATTATTTCAGCTTTTTATAATATTTGTAGGAGCATTTGAATGCTATGATTTTTTATAAAACTGCGAGCTGTCTCCCGCGACTCCGTCCGTGCGGCATAAAAAAGTAGATAGTAGCCAATTCTCAGTTTCATTCTCAGTTGTTACTAACATTGTGACATGAGTTTTTTTTTTAATTTAAGATAATAGAAAAATCTAAATAATGTTTTGTAACTTACATTGCAAACATTCTTTCGCACAGTTATGTATCCGGCACAAAAGTTAGTTCGTGTAACTAAATCTCTGGAATTTAAATTGAAAAATTTATAAGCTGTCGTCCACGACTCTATTCGCGCGGAATTAAAAGAAAATTAAGTAGCCTATGTAGCCAGACTATGTTCTACATGCCGGAGGGAGGGGGTGTCAGTCAATCTCAGACCTTTGGACCGGTAGCACGTGTCGGTACGTGAACGAGCCAAATATAAAGCAAAGAATGCTACAACATCTGTGCCGAATTGTAGCGAGCTCTGGATAGCTGTGCTAATGAAACTTTCTAACATCCATCCAAACCTTTGCATTTATAATAATAGTCAGATTAACTCACTTTCCATAAACTTCTTGACAGTCCGATAAATCGTAGACTGGTAGAACTACCTTCTGGAGTAATACTTGTTCTTCAATGCTGCCATGACCCTGATATAAAGAGTTATTTATATATGAAATGTAAGGCCATAAATGTTGCTATTATTAAAAAAAAACTTTTTTGTTTTAACTGCCGAACACAAAATAATTTTATGCGTATGGAACTAACGATAACCTTTAATGAGAAAAATAAAACATTTTTTCTTCCCCTAAATCATAACTGTAATGTAGTAAACTTGCCATATCAACCTTAAATTATTCAAACTTTCGTGAGACATTATACTAAACTGATATATAAACACGGCTAAACACTCACGTATATACGTCCGGTGGCGGCACCGACTAGTTTCGAGCCCATCGGGGGCCCTTCATCAGGATGAGTGGTACTGGTATTATTTCGCGGACGCGGCCCGTCGCTCGCTCACGCCCGAGTGTTTATATATCAGTTCATCTCAACCTTATTTGTAACTTTGTAATAATAAGGCATATGATTTGGTACGCCAAAACAAGAGTACTCTTTCACCCGACGTGCCAACTCCGAGTGTACTCACCCAAACAGATCCCCATCCTAGAAATGTAACCTCTGTATCTGTAGGGATCAGTTTTTCTCGTGAATGTCCAATAACGTCCACGTTTCTATCGCTTTTAATTGTTATATTCTTATGTAGTTTGACGACAGCTACATTGAATTCTAAGGTATTTGGCTTGTAGTTTGGATGGAAGAAGATATCAGTGACGCGGTAGACACGGCCGCCGGCGGTCGCGTTGTTCGAGCCGACGCGGACAGTCAGCATTTTGACGTATTCACGGAAGAATCGGTTGTTGTACTGCCTGGTTTGTGGGAGAAGAAAATTGGATTAAGCGACTTTGCGATAAATGAAACATTTCCAGTCTTATTATACCATATCAGAATAATGTCACAAAAGTAGGAAAACATTTTAACTATTATATCAAATGTCCAATGAACCATCATCTGATCAGGATGCAATGATAAATTCGCGGCAGTGCAACCGCCGAGGCTAGCACGACCGAATCTTATCTCGAAGGTACAGGGCACTTTTGGCACCCTTGTATTGACAAAGCTTGAACCTTACAATTGCATACAATGCGCTGCGGTCATAACCGTATCTTCCTCTATAATAGCACCACCACACCATAGCTTTCCGTTCATCAACAAGACAGCCATGAACGGATAGTCCTCTATTAAAGCCGTTTCATCAGGATTGTAAATCCTACGCATTTGACGGTTGCCGAGAGTTGTTGCTTTAGTTGTTATCTCTTCTCTAAATGGTGCTGTTGGAAAACATAAGTTATTGATTTGATAATTTGGATAATATTGTTAGTTGCAGTACGTGTGCCTGTTCTCAATGCCAGTTTTAGCATTTCCGGAGTCCCGGGCGAGATTTTTTCGGGGTCCTTTTTTTGGCGGCCGGCACGATCGCCCCACTTTGCTCTACTTTAACGCGGCTACTGCTTGTCCTCTCTGTTTTGTTTGGAAATACTGAGAGGCGAAAAAACTATAAAATTGTGTAAAGTTTACTATAGCGAGGGATACCTAAGTATTAAATTACGCATAAATTGAAGCCTCACACAATTTTATAGTCTTCATTGTTACGTCATATTGTTTTCATGTGTTGATAATTCATTATTTTTAAAAGAAATGTTTCATATGAATGTTTCATCATAGCAAACTGCGTGTAGTGTCGATTTTGACCAACTTACTATTAACTTCAGTTATAATTCCTAGATCCTTATGAAGATCTTGGTTGACAGCATTCAGCGACTGGTCAATGGGTTTTTCGTTTTCGTAATTTTTGTTAACCACTAGCAAAGTTTAATATTAAAAAAATATTTTAAATAATGCATGGAATTGAAAGTTATCAGCAATATTTATAAATTATGAAAGGAAATTTCGGGAATATATAAAAAGTCGTCTCTTCATCATCCTCAGAGGCACAACACCTTTGCCTAAAACATCAAAGTAACAGTTGGCTGAAGAACTTATAGCATAGACTTCGGCAATAAGTAAGGACGTACGGAAAGAGTTGTGCCTTAGACGGAATTCACTTCCCCTTCCATTCCTTTCCTCATAAGAATATGTTACTTAAAATCATTTTAAAGGTTAAGAAAATTATGACTTTGTAGCAGATTTGGTTTCCTGCATATTATTTTCTCTGTCTTTCTTTCTCGCAATAGAGAATGAAAGAGATAGTAATAAGTTATAAGGTTGAAGGACAAAAATCTTACCCGTTGGCTCCGTCGCTCCTATTGTGACCTCTGTGTTATACGTAATAGGTTTCGAGGGTGATAAGTCTATAGATAAACTGTTGTATTTCTCAGATTTTTTATACATATTTCTACGAAAAGGCTCTTCTTCCACTAGAGATTAAAATTTAACTACAGATTCATTTAATAATTACTTAAAGGGTCTAATACCTTAGTAAGCACAATGGAAGTAGCCAGGTGGCAAGGGGCAGGGGAAGGGAAGCTGCCTTAGAGACATGCCTTATCGTACTAGTATTATAAATGCGAGTGTTTAGATGGATGGATGTTTATTACTGTGTACGGCACAACGGATCTGGATGACATTTGACACAAATATAGAACAAAGTCTGAAAGACTAGATGTAGGTATACATAGTAATTTTTTTTTAATATTGTATGGATGAAGTCGCGGCCAAATGCTAGTATATTTCGCCACCTCTGACTTAGTTGTCCAGTAGCAAATGATATTTATTATTTTTAGACATTATTAATTACAATCTTCTGACGCGAATGACGTGCTTTCGTTACAAAGTCAAGTGTCAGAATGAATGTCGAGAAGTCACAAACGTCGACATTTTAGTAAGGCTAGCGTTGAGTCAATACACTGGCTCATTTCCGGATTTTCTTCCTAACGTTATATAGCATACAATTATATATAGAATGTGTTTTTACGCTATTTACTATAATTAAGTTAAAAACTCACTATCATCAGATGTTTCCGAAACGTAATTAGTTGATTCATCATGTGAATGACATTTCTGTAATATATTTAGTACTGAAATAACAAATGTCATCAACATTTTCGAAGTAACTGAATAATAGCATATTTGAATATTGTAATATTTTGTTTATTATCTTTAAAACAATTTAAATAAAATTACGCAGCAGATCGTAAACATTTTTATTACAGAAAATAAAGTAAGCAAAAGAAATTGACTTTCGAAATCATTGAGAATTTTTTTCATCAAAAGTCGCATCAGTGACCATGCCAACCGTGATCCAAATTTGGGTAAACAGAAGTTATGATTGGTGCTTGAATTACTTTAGGTACAACATAAACCCGTGGTATTTGAATTACTGGTAAGGTTATACCATGATTGATGACACTGGAATATCCTGAGGAAGGTGTTAACACTGTGAAATAAATATTACTTAAACCATTTTCCACTAAGCAAATAAACGTTCGCGACTTCTATTTTAGTGGAAATAGGGTTTAATAGTGAATCTTATTCTAGCTTTTTAACTTCAACCAGAGTAACCAGAGATTACGGGGTTGTGTAGATGTGTTAGAGTCCAATCCATCGAGGTCTGTGCTGGTGTAATTTCTTAACACGTAAGGATCTCTTCGCCGCGAATCCCTTCACTGCAAAAGGGTATTGCGTCAGTTTTTGTTTTAAATACTAACAATAAGCACCCAAGCCCGTAAATTCAAGAAATTTATATACTTCTTTAGACGTTAAAGAGTCTAACGCATAAATCATTTGGAGGGGAACCGTCTTTTGTTTATTCCTTTGTGTAGTGTATGCATAAACTAATGTTGTTTGTCTCGAGCGTACACGCCATAAGTACATTCCGGAGAGAGGGGTCGTCAGTCGATGTCAGACCTTTGGACCGACAACACGTGTCGGTACGTGGACGAGCCAAATATAACGCAACGAATGATACACTCTGTTTAACAGATTAAATAAATTGCACAAATTAGAACAAAGATAAACGAAGTAAGAAACGTAGATTGTAGATGATTTTTCTTTGCCTAGACCAAAATTATGTTTAGTTGTTTCTAAAGGTATAATTTGTAGACGTGTAAATGTTATGTACAGAGAGCTGTATGGTGTGCCAGAGTGTGCCAAATGTACCCGTAATCTCTGTTTACTCAGGCCTCTGGATTACGGGCGTGATTGCTTATTAATTTATCTATTCCCTTACTTATTCATGGAATTGATATAAAGTAATATAGTTTTCTTCAATTATCTTACTAATATGCATGTTTTTTCGGAGGTATATTTGGCAAAGATGTAGAGCATAGTTTCTTAATGAGAGCCAGCATTTTAATAGTACAAAACATGTTAGAAAAAAATAATTACCATGACCAACTGGATTGGCCACTGAAAGGCCGAACAGAGCAAGCACAATGGCCACCTGAAAATAATAAATGATTTCAAAACTAGACTAATAGCCACGCACAGTCGTTAAACGGTAGTTTAAGATGCTGAAGCTTAACTTTCGCTTAGCGTTAGTTACATTTTTCATAATAAAAGATTGTCGGTGACCATAAAATCAGTAAAATATTTTAATTAATCAAAAATCGTATAATTTAAAATATACAAAAAAAACTTACAGCACACTTCATGTTATCTCTTGCAAGACTTGTAACTGAAGAAATCGAAACAAATAGTAATTACCTATATTTATACAAACGAGGTTTCTAAATTTACGCATCGCTAACCAAACATCCTGTATATTACCAATATCATAAGGGAAGCTAGGTAGTTATACCTAAATAAACTATTGGACAACCTTTATATATAGTGTAGTCTATTTAAGATTTATTTGACAACTGACGCCTACAAAGTATGTAATTATTTTTGTGTGAAGTTTACTTTTTGGACGGTTATCATAGTGTCGAACCGTACACGCATTACGAGCAACTATGATATATCGTGAAACAATCTTGTAATAATATTAATCCAAGAAATAATAGTATTTATTTAATTACTTTTTAAATTTATTACAGATATTTAGCAATGTCTCGCGCAATTAACTAAAAAAAAAACATTTTAAACAGTTTTTTTTCTTCTCAACATATCAATGTTTGGTTTTATTTTTTACGTAGTTTTGAAAAAAATGTTGGGATAAAAAAAACAATTTCATTTACATTGTAAATCACAAACAATCATCACGAAATTTTCGATTGCAAGTTCTATGAGAACAACCATCGGAAATCGAAAATTTTCATAACCGATTTTAATCAACCCATCTTTAGTTAATTGTCAAAAGAATTATCAACCTATTTTAAATAGACACACTATAGAAGAGGACAAAACAAATGAGCTTCAGGGGTTAAACAAAGTACATTCGCTTCGAAGCGATTCCATAGCGAACATCAAAATTGTATGGAACTGCCGAGCGACAATCGCATGACTTATCGAAAGTTGTTGTCAATTCTATACATTATTGAAGTTCGCTATGGAATCGCCTCAAAGTGAATGCATTTTATCTAACCCTTCAAGTCACCTAATCTGATGTTTATGGACATCTACAATACCACAGGAACAGAGAATGTGTTGGCGTCCTTCTACAATACTCTTTTTTTAAAGACCTTTAAACTGCTTGGATATACCGCTAAGGACTTGTACCACTAAGGGCGTATTAAGTAAAAACATGAAAATATCGTCGTTTAAATTAAACTGCAATATTAATGTTTAACGTAATTTATTGAAGAAAAATACTATAAGTGTGCCAAATTAGAAATAATCTTCCATCTTAAAATGTTCTTGTATTCCACAATTAATCCTGTAACAAAATGTACAACATTATATAAAACACAAGCTGTCGCTCGCGACTCCGTCCGCGCGGGATTAAAAATAGATGTTGGCCGATTCTCAGACCCACTCAATATGCTTCCAAAATTTCATGAGAATCGGTCAAGCCGTTTCGGAGGATTATGGGAACAAAAGTTGTGACACGAGAATTATATATATAAGATAAATGTTGATATCAATAGAGATTAGTTGTTTAGTGGAAAAAGGGCTTTACCTTCCACTTATCGTTGTCATAGTCCCATTTGGAAGAAATGCCATCTATCGGGTTGACCCGGAGCTCTAGCATTCGTCGCAATTGTGCTTTCTGAGCTAATTTGGAGAACGACGCCGGTAACGGTTCGTATACTATAAAGAAACCGAGATATTAGACCTTTATTAGCTATATCCCGCGACTTCGTTCACGTGGAATTAAATATTCAAGTAGTATAAGCTTTTATTTGCTAAAATTCATCCAAATCCCTAAAGCTATTCTGGAAATATATCGTAACAGACATTTATACATGCAGAATTTCTCATTTATAATATTAGTAAAGTACTACGCGTACAAGCGCGCCGGTGGCTCAGGGATTTAAGTACTTGGCTTCTAATCTGCAGGTCTTGGGTTCGAAACCCGCCATGTACCAATGTGTTTTTCGATTTTCGATTTACATATGTACATATACCCGACGGTCTTACTGTGAAGGAAAACATCGTGATGCAACCTGCACACATATCTGAGAAAATATTCAAAGATATGTGTGAAGTCAACCAACCCGCACTTGGCCAGCCTGGTTGCCTATGGCCTTGTCACGCTGCATTTAGGGTAGGCTCCGAGCCCCTCAGTGGGGACGTATTGGGAGCTGATGAGGAAAGTACTACGATTATTTAATATGATTAAAAAGAATAGAAAAAGTCAACATACTCTATTAAAGTAACGCCAGTGAACGAGAAATTGAGGATTAGAAGATTAGCGTGGTTTGGACATGTTATGTTATGGAGGGATGATGATATAAGCAAAAAAGTAATGAGATTGAATGTGAATGGCTACAAAGGTAGGGGAATACCAAAAAAAGTATGGAATGACTGTGTGAAAGAGGATATGCGTAGGAAGGTGGTAGATTCAGATATGACGGCTGATAGAGATGTATGGAGGAGTACATACTGTGCCGACCCTATGTAGGGATAAGAGTAGGTTGGTGATGATGAACATACTGTATAAAACATGGTGAAACTTACCATAATGATGATAATAAATCACAAACCACCAAGCAAAAGACGTAACTATTAACACCCAGCCAGCTATAAACTTCCAAGTGCCAGTTGGTGCTTGGAACTCTGCGAACGTCTGACAGAATGACGCTCGGTAGAGAGACTTCTTCTCCTCACAGCACAGTTGTCTCCAATCACCTTTCTCTTTCTCACGCAGAGCCTGTATATACATACTTCTATAGGAAATATTTAAGAACATCTTATCTATATATAAAAAAGAAAGTCGTGTTAGTTACACTATTTATAATTCAACAACTGCTTTACCAATATGGCTGAAAATTGGTGAGGAGGTAGCTTAGAGACGGACATAGGATACTATTATATTTCATTTTTTTTTCGATATTATGCCTTGAAGAGCTGCTTTTTATTTAACTGACTAATATTATAAATGCGAATGTTTAGATGGATGTGATGTGGATGTGGACGGAGTCGCGGGCGACAACTAGTTACTTATAATTATAACTACGATTTTACAATATAAAGTTGCCAAAGTTAGAGATAGTAAATATAGCATATTGGTAAGTACAGACGTTATATTGGGGAAATTGGGCTAAGGGACTCAACTCTTGTAATTCCTGCCTTCGGTTATTCTCATCTACGAAACTCTTGGAGAAAAGGAAACGCAAAATTTTATCGGCAATGAAACAAACATCGGAAAAAGACGACTAAATTGAATAAAAGATTTAGAAAAAATTTAAAATCAACGTGGCTAAGCCCAAAGGCCTTAAACAAAATGGACTGATAAGAAATATAAAGGGGCGGCTTCGGTGGTCCCCATCTTTGGAAGATTCCTCCGCAACATCAAAAAGGGGAGTCGAAAAAATGTCGCTCAGGTTGCCGGAAATGTGAAACCAGCGCTGTCTACGTCTATGATTACAAAAGACAAGAACGTTTTAATTGTTATATAAGTTAAATGTACATACACAAATATCTCTGGTATTCTCCTTGAATCTTACACTGGGGAATGGAAAGTGCGGGTCATCTCTGTACGCCGCGCTACCGTTGATGCCATGCCCCACAACATCCCTGCAACCGATCCTACATCTATTGTGTACAGATCTCGTGATGCAGTAAATATTAGCTTTGTATAAATTTAATAATACGTATGACATATTTGCACGATCACATACGATTGACGTTTCGTTTTTAGTTTTTATTGATTTTAATTTATTGTCAACCTTTTTACAGATTAACCTTTTTAGAGACAGAAAAAAGAAGTAAAATGTATACTTTTCTCAGGGCCGCTATTTTCTCTAAAGAAATAAAGAACGAGTTTGTATATCTGTATATTTCCGAAGCATCCATATAACAAACCAATCATGTATTAAACATATTGTTATCTCTGAGAGCGTCGGTGGCTCAGGGGTCAAGCACTTGACTTACAATCTGCAGGTCCTGAGTTCGAATCCCGCCATGTACCAATGTGTTTTTCGATTTCCGATTTACATATGTACATCTATCCGACGTTCTTAAAGTGAAGGAAAACATCGTGATGCAACCTGCACATATCTGAGAACAAATTCAAAGATATGTGTGAAGTCAACCAACCCGCACATGGACAGCGTGGTTGACTGTGGCCTAATCACCCTTAACTTGGGTAGACTCCGAGCCCTTCGTTGGGGACGTATAGTGAGCTGATGATGATGATGATATCTCTGATTTATGAACATGAATAACAATGATTTTGTAAAGATGTTTCCTCAGCTAAATCGTACAGAATGTTATATTTCTAGACTGTTTGTTGCGTGTTTCAAGTATACTTCACTTTTCGTTGTAAATTTTCTATTATAAAATTTGTAATGCGTTTCCATTTTATAGTTAAACTAGCTGTCGTCCGCGACTCCGTCCGCGTGGACACATAAAAAAAATAAAAATAAAAAGCAGCTCTTCGAGGCATAAATTCGAAAAAAGAAATAAAAAAAAAGAATAAATAGTATCCTATGTCCGTCTCCTGTCTATAAGCTACCTCGTCACCAATTTTCAGGCATATCGGTAAAGCCGTTCTTGAGTTATAAATAGTGTACCTAACACGATTTTCTTTTATATATATAGATGTTATTGTTTGTAGAAAATTCCAAAAAATATTGAACATTTTTGATATCAAAAATCAAATATGTTTTCTTGCAATTCATACTTTACAATCGTATTTCTGCATACTTTAAAATCAGGATTTCTTCAGAACATAACAATTAATAGAACAATAGTAAATAATCCAAATGTTTATAATATCGTAAATAAAATAATAACATCAATGACAAATACAAAAGAACTTGAAGGCAATATTGATATGAAAAAACTTTTATTAATGTATAAGGAAGTAAAAAGAAAATCTTACAAGCAAAGTAAAATGTTTGAAGATATACGAAACAATAGTGAAGCTGATTTCTATGATAAAGTTATTTACAATATTATTAATTTTAATAAAATATTTAATGAAACATCATTAAATGAATATAAAAATAAAATTTACAAGCAAATATGTGGTAATATACAATCAAATAATAACGAAACTGCAGACGAAGTTGCGAGTATGATTGAAAATTTCACATGTAATTTTGCTTATAAAATTAATAATTTAATTTTAAATGAACCATCTCAATCACATGTTATTGCAAGAAGGAATCAAAACCATTATAATAGCAAGAAACGTATTCCAAATCTTAAAATTTGGGGTAAGATCTTACTAATATTATAAATGCGAATGTTTACATGGATGGATCTCCACAATGGCTGCACGGATCTTACTGAAATTTGGCATAAATGTAGAATACAGTCTGGAAGACTGGACGGGCGACAGCCAGTCTTTCGTAAAATTAAGGATTGAGTACCACAAATTTTACCGTATGAACGGTCACTACCAATTCAATCCAATATAATCCAACCATAGACTTTCTGCACACTTTAACGACCTCGTAAATTCCAAACTACTTCCGTGGAATTTGACGTTCCTCTATTAATATAATTTAGATTTTCAAGTAGGCTAAGATATCTGAGAAGGCCTATGCCCAGCAGTGGGCGGCATAAAGCTGAAACGAACGAAGATATACTGATGGTTGGAAATATTTCCAGTCGTTCCCAATATGACAGATGACATTGAAAACATGAATACTAGAAGACTATTCCAAGGTCGAAAGATTTCTGCACGCAAGTTTCCGTTCATAGCAAGCGTGCATGTGAACAACGAGTTTGTCTGCGGTGGTTCCATTATCGCAAGATGTGTCGTCATCACTGCTGCGACATGTTTAGAAAAGTATGTACAAGTACCATAATATTCCTGTTCCGCTACGACCAATCTTGTTCCGCTCTTATGAAACAAGCAAAACAAGCGACAAAGTATGCCACGCTATTTGTCTTCCTTTATGGCGATCGATGAAGCTTTTTTTTTTAATTCAATAATAATAAATGCAAAAATATTCCTATTTTAGTCTCCTTTTTTTGTCGTTTCAAAAAAAGGTATTCATTCCTAACATATTTTTAGTGATCACGATCTCTCCTCAAAGCCTCAACATGTGTTCATCAGAGTAGGCAGTGATTTCGCAAATCGAGGTGGTAAGAAGTATCAAGTTGTAGCAGTGCATATACATCCAGAATACGATCCAACGAACCTGGTAAATAATTTAGCAATCCTCAAACTAGACTGTGATATGGAAAATGACGAAAAACAAACGAAAATGACAAAGATAAGACGCGTAGAATATGACACATTGCCTGAACAGATTCCTATAAATGTTGATGAAGTTACAGCACTTGGTTGGGGAGCTAAACATGTAAGTTTTCTTAAGTTAAAAGTTAAAAATTACTGCTACAAACATAAATTTTAACAGTGGTAGAGCCCGATTTAACATCTTCGCACGAATCGGCCCGGCTCACCCGGTGAAATACCACGACCACACAGAAGACAGGCGTGAAGTGGAAGCAATTCCGCGTTTCGTCTGATGAGTGTGCGTCCCGGAGGCCCAATTTAGTCCTCTTTCCCTTCCCACCCTTTTTCTTAGAAGGAAAGGATGGGAAGTGGAAGTGGACTTTCCCTATGAGAGGATGCATGGGAAGGGAAAATATTTTCTTTCTGTGCATCCTCACCTCCGTCGATTAAAGATAGGCAACGCATATGCGATTGCGTATGTCTATGGGCAGCGGTCACTTCGCTATTTCAGCGATTTCGGGTGGCCGATTGCTCGTTTGCCACCTTTTGATATAAAAAAAAAAAAATTACATTCTGATTCTATTAAATTTTTCTCTTTACAGATAGATGATGATAATTTTATATCAGAGCGTCTGTCCTTCTCGCATCTAAACATGTATCATATCAAAGATTGTCAGAGTTTGTACACGGAGTAAGATTACATTTAGATTTTTTGTATTGACTTTTCTTTTAGCTTGGATCTTAACAAAACGTTTTTAATCTGATTTTAGAAAATATGTCACACTGAAAAATTTTTGTGCCGGATTTATATCAAAAGGCGGAGGAGCATGCAATGTGAGTGTTCTAAAATTAAAAAAAAAAACTATTTTTTATTTTTATTTCGATTGACATTACAGCCTTGCCAGCCAGTAATTTTTGATCAAATGGCAATAAATGCTTTTTTTATAAAGAGAGACGTTGGCGGTCCTGGCATTCTCGATGGCCTGCTAATGGGCGTCATTAGCTTTGGTTCGCCTGTTTGTGGCATTCCTGACGCACCCACTGTCTTCACAAAACTTGGATATTATACAAAATGGATAGAATCGATTCTTGAAGAGGTAAACTGTCAACTAAGATATAGAATTATATTTTAAGTCTTTGCTACGACTATAAAGATAAAAAAAACTATTGTGTTATTTCCAGGATCAACTGTTAGATGATGATGAAGATGTAGAAAAAGCTAATCAAATATTAGCCCTCATTCAAACTTATTATAAAGAGGATAGAAAAGATTTAAATAAGCGTGTTCCGACAGAAAGAACACAAATAAATGATAACACTGATGAGGACGACGAAGATACAAATATTATTAATACTGTTGTACAATTAACGTCTCATATAGAAGTTCCGAATTTCATAAAAGATCTATACCGTAGTCTTCCAACGAAATTAATAAATCTCTTTGCCAAAAATCTTGATCAAGACTTAGGTATATCAAACGATGATATACAAACAAAAGAAAGAGCAAAAACTAATGTAGAGTCTAAAGAGAATTTAGATTTGATATTCTTACCCGATACAACTGATATACCAAAAAAATATCAAAAGCTTTCGAAGATGCGTATTAATCAGTCGCAAGGAAATGTGAAAACAACGAAGAAACCAAATAGCTTTGGTAAAAAAGAATCGCATCAAGACGTTTCGCGCAATTATGAAAGTGACTCAGATATAAATTATAATATAGAGATTGGTATGAGTATCGCAAATAAGTAGTTAAATGAATTATTATTAGTGTTTAAGAAAAAAAATGCTGGTATCATTAGACTGTTTTGTTTCTCGTATCCCTTTTTTTTACTATTTAATATAAACCCTATTCCATTTGCGTTTGTTTCTTATGATTTTTGATTCAATCCTAAATAAGTTAGTTTGAACAAATACATTTTTTTTACAAAATTGGACTTAAAATTATAATGGAGGAACGGAACGTTTTTTAGTTCGGTAAGTTGTTGTTAGATGTCGCTGCTTTTTTCACAACTCGAGTGGTGTTGGTCAAAATTCCACCAAGGATAGAAGTTGAATAAAATAAGGTAAAGTTAAATGTTATATTTAATTTAGTGTTTTTATGTTACATAGCTTTTAGTTTTGCATATACGCTTCAAATTGAAGGTAAGTAGTACTCTATTTATTCGTCGTCATAACCAAGTAGACGTTCTTATTTCAAAATGTAAGTATCACTACTTATATTGAGATAATCATTATTACTTAGATAGTGTTCATCATTTAATTTAACAAAAGTTTTAACCACGTAGCTGTCAAAAGTAATTTATTGATTTTTATAGTTTTTCATGTTATGTAACCCAAATCAATACTTCTACTTCTAACCTTACCTGTTATCACAATTTATCGTTTTCGGTCACCTAAATTCCTATTTAAGCAACATTTAATCATATATGATTCACTATGAAACTAAAAATGATCCTAGATTTCGATAAGTCAATTATATATTAACACTTGTCCAGTGTATTTTTATTTTGACATCACTTAAATAATAAAAAAAACAATGTTTTGTCTAAATTAGACTAATATTAAATAAAAAACGATGTAATGTATTATACATTATAATATTAGTAAGGAATATACTATAAACATCAGTTTTATTTAACATAATATGAAATTATGTTAATTTTTTATTTTGCTAATAATATCATATAAAAAAGAAATTTTGTCATTAGATTACTAAATCTGATATATACTAAACAAAAAACTATGTCATTGTTAGTATTTCAAACAAATACTATTATATGATCCTCAGTTATGGGTATCACTTTTAGTATTGTTCTTCAGCATATCATTTTGTTTTTACAGAACAATGGCCAACTATTTATTACGCCGTGCGATAATAGATGCTATTCGTGTCCCAGTGGGCACCAGAGCATCCAGTGAGCTGGCCAAGGTAAAGTACAATATCAATAATATTCATCCTAGATACATTTGTGCTGTAATGCATGCTTTGATAACCATGCTCCAAACAATTTAGAATTTATTGATTGTTAAAACAGTCTTTCTCTTTTTTCTCTTATATCACCTCTAAATGAGAGAGATATTATTTATATATATACTTTTTTTATATCATGAGGTGGCAAATGAGCAAGCGGCCACCTGAAATCGCTGAAATAGCAAAGTTACCGTTGCCCATAGACATACGCAATTGCATATGCATTGCCTACCTTTAATCGACGGAGGAGAGGATGCACAAAAAGAAAATATTTTCCCTTCCCATGCATCCTCTCATCCGGAAAGTCCACTTCCACTTCCCATCCTTTCCTTATAAGAATAAGGGTAGGAAGGGAAAGAGGACTAAATTAGGCCTCCGGGACGCACACTCATCAGACGAAACGCGGAATTGCTTCCACTTCACGCCTGTCTTCTGTGTGGTCGTGGTATTTCACCTGGCGAGCCGGGCCAATTCGTGCGCTGATGTTAAAGCGGGCTCTACCACTGTTAAAATATGTACAGGATTTCAAAAGATGTAACACTCATTTATATACACATTTGTCCAAATTTGTTCTTTAGGCATTACACAACATACTGATGATAAATTTTCATATGAATAATTTTTTCCCCGAGGCTTTATGGATGAAACAAACAATGATTGTTTTCTCTTCACAATAATTGGTTTTGTTACAGATTGGCAATCGTGAATGGGTGGGCTATGGTTACAATGGCCAACCGACCTACGTAGACAGGCCTGACTTTCCTCTACCCGCTGTTAGGTTCCGCCCTGACACTCCTGATGTTAAGGTAAGGTTTAAATCTAATAAAGAATTTATTTTATCTTCAAATTTATTAATGATATAGATTTTGTATGTAAAAGTACTGGTACTAATTGCCGCTTTATTTGACATGGGGGAGGTCTTCTTGGCCTAGTCTCAACTTAGGGGCAGCTCCAAGCCCCTCAGTAGAGACATATAGTGAGCTGATGATGAGATGATTTCTTTGTTCTTTTATGTATTAAATAAGATAGATTATGTGAAAGAAGATTTATGTGTGTGAGAATTCAGATATGGCTAGTAGAGATGTACGGAGGAGTAGTACATGCTCTACTCACCCTCTGTAGGGATAAGAGTAGGTTCCTGATGATTAAAAACTTGTCATATCTTCTGGTTACTTGGAGTTGGTTCTAAGGCTATTGGGTTAATCTTACTAATATTATAAATGCAAATGTTTGGATGGATGGATGTTTGTTTGAAGGAATATCCGGGACAGCTAAAAGGATCAAGATGAAATTTGGCATACATATAAACCATAGTCTGGAAGAACACATAGACTAATAATTATTATTTACTTTTATAATTCACGGACGATAGTATATTAAAGATGGATTTGCTTATTTTAAATTTATTTCAATATCAGGTGCTCCGTGAAAAGGAGAAGGGTGATTGGCGTAAACTGACATTGGAGGAAAAGAAAGCACTCTACCGTGCTTCTTTCTGCCAGACTTTCGCTGAGTTCCAAGCCCCCACCGGAGAATGGAAGGGAGTTGTCGGCTGGTCTCTTGTGTTTATCTCTCTGTCTCTCTGGATCTATATGGGAATGAAATTGTTCGGTAAGACATCCATGATTACATAATTTGTTCTATTTTAATGTTTATTACTAATTTACTTGTAATAAATTAAGTTTCTTTATGAATCTGGCATTTGAACAAGTGGCCACCGGTTTCCTGTAAAAAAAGTAAACTGTTGCCCATAGTATGAGTAATATCTTTATATTTCTCCAGTGTACAGTCCTCTGCCAGCATCATTCGATGAGGATGCCCAGAAGGCTCAGCTGAAGAGAATGCTGGACCTTAAGGTCAACCCCATTGACGGACTCTCCTCCAAGTGGGACTATGAGAACAACCGCTGGAAGTAAACTGTAAGTACATATATATAAATATAGATATAAAAGTAGCAAGATCTTTGTATGGTCAATTTGATGATTTCTCTTTTAATTAGAATCAATATTATATCTTCTTAATATTGAAATTTTGATTCTACTTGTCTATAATAAATAGGAAAGATTTGATTGTTGGTTTGTTTGTTTGCATTAAATAGGCTCCGAAACTAGTGAACTATCTACACTATCTCTAGATGATTTAGGCTGTATTTGTTACTAGATGTTTTTTTATTCAGTACAAACGAAGTCGCGGGTAATGGCTAGTTTGTTATAAACATGTCTGTACCAGTATGTCTTAAGCAATGTTGACAAGTGAAGATCATTTGAACAGACATACACAGATTTAATAATAAAATAACGTTTTTTTATTCCAGATTCCAGATGAGTAGTGCTTTCTGGTTAGCTTGAAGCGGACTAGAGTAGAATTGTATTATAAGCAAACTAATTCTGTAAGATAAACAAATTAAATGTGATTCCATCTACCAGCTGTGATTGTTTCATTACACCTAAGACATCCTTATACCTATCTCTTTCTAACATACGTATTTTAGATTTACTGGTATATATGCATCTCTCTTTAGCTCAATTTTTTGGGTTCGAAATGTCAGATTTTTAAAACAGATTATAAAATGTCAGTTAATGGCCTATTTTTTTTTAATTCTGTCCATCTTTTGTTTAGATTAAGGACAATGCGATCCTACGATACGTAAGAAAAGTTTTTTTTAGACTAACCTATGCCTTTCCTTGAAAACTTGGAATAGATTGGTAAAATGGTTCCTAATGAAAAATAGAAAATAATATATTAATCTGAGTTTGGTGTTACTGTATCTTAAAATAATATACATAAACATATATTTTATATGTATTCCTGTTAACAAACGTAAAGTAAATTTCTCAATATGCCGTAAAAATAAAATTTCTTTCACAATAATATGGTTTAGATAAGAAAAATAAAACAATTTTTGTGTGAAAAGGATTTTGTTTGATAGTGAACGTATTAATTTACAAGTCGTTTTGAAACTTAACGTAATTTCTCATGTTTTCTGTTTTCGATAAATTGTTTATTATTATTTTATTTGGCATCATCCATCGTTCAGAAGCGTTGGTCGAACTCCCAAAACTCGAAGTGGACGATCTTGTAAGAACAGAGAAAATTATAAGAAACACAACAAACAACATTTTATCCAGTTTGAAATTTAAAAAACCAATAAACAGCACAAGGATCAAAGAATTTTCAACGTTACATCATTATTTTTTATCTATTACATTTCGACATTCGAGTACACTGAGAGAAATAGCTCGACTAACTAGAATTGACTATAAAAAATATAATAACGCGACGGAAAATTTAACGACAGCTATAAACGAATTACTAGACGATGGCCAATGTTCTAATGAAAAAAACATAACCTCAAATAAAACGTCAAATGAAGATACGAACGTACTTCTATATGTAGACAATTTTCTAGCAAAACTCGAAACCTTAAAAGAAAGTTATGGCGTTAATAAAGTATTTTCAGATATTAATTCTAATATAATTAAGCTTTTAGATGAATCTAGACAAGCAAGTTTCAGATCGAAAACTAATGTAACGAATTTAAGCCACGACCATTTGTTTGACAGTAGTGAATATTGGGGTAAGTAAATCTTAAAATATTTTAATCAGTAGCATATTAAAAACATCAAAATTGGATGTAAAGGCACCGTACCACGTCTGCGCAAAGATTCCAGTTAATCACGAGTCGCAATTGAAGTTTGAAAATTGTAAACCTCAAAGATAAGACGCTGACTGGACAGGCTACAAGTCGTGGTATTTTGTGCCTATTTAAATAGTGTTCTTTTGTTTCTTTTAGTTCCAAGCGGCCGACGTATTTACAAAGGGGAAAGAACCAAAATCAAACATTATCCGTTCATGGCCAGTATTCAAATTTTCGATGTCTTCCAATGTGCAGGCTCTATTATTAAATCGGATCTTATTATTACGGCGTCTTCATGTCTGCAATTGTAAGATTTTTGTCCATTCATACTTAATATTCGTTTGACATTGGACGAAATTTTTTTAACCATTTTACCTCGACGTAAGAAACAAAAGTTTATCCGTAAGTCAGAATGTAAATGAGTTTACTTTGGTTTGAAGGAAATAAAAGGTCATCTTATTTGTATTATATTTTTTTATTCTAGTATTTGTAGGCCGTCCAAATAGTGTCAAATAACTGGTCGAATCTCGTGTGTATTCCAGAAACATTTGACTATAACAATTTCCATTACATTTTTTTAGGGCTTGGAATAATCGTTTCTATCGAGAGAATCCAGCTTTCCTCGCTGTCCGTGTCGGATCATCATTTTATAATAGTGGCGGAGAGAGAATAGCCATTTTAGAGATATATTTCCACCCTGATTACAATCCGAAGAGCCTTTGGAATAATATATGTGTATTACGTCTTGAAAGGCATATAGAATTTTTAAAGGATAACGTAAAGAGCGTTAAGAAAATAGCGATAGATAAAAATCCATGGAATTTACCTGTTAATACTCCAGGAATTACGATCATTGGTTGGGGAGCTAAGTCGGTAAGAATACCATTAAACTCATATATAAACACGGCTAAACACTCACGTATATTCGTCCGGTGGCGGCACCGACTAGTTACGAGCCAATCGGGTGCCCTTCATCAGGATGAGTGATACTGGTAAAATTTCGCGGACGCGGCCCGTCGCTCACTCGTAGAGTGATAATACCCTTCATCCTGATCAAGGACCCCCGATAGGCTCGAAACTAGTCGTTGCCGCCACCGGACGAATATACGTGAGTGTTTAGGCGTGTTTATATATCAGTTTAGTATAATGCCTCATGAAAGTTTGAATAATTTAAGAATACCATTGATTGAATCTTAACATGAACACGTAAACACGGGATTCTTACCACGATTAAGCTGTTTGAGAATATCGGAATATTTCGGCACATTTGCATACGCCATTATCACGGTAACAATCCCATTTCTTACGAATGTAATTATAGTAAAAACCACGCAACTTTAAAGTTATCTTTACATGATACATGTCACCAGTCTTAATAAATTTCACGTTCAGTGATAGTGACTCGTGTGTTGACTTCAATTTTATACGAAATAATCTTAAGTAAAATTCATGTACATTTAGTTAAGTGAACAAAGGATTATAGTTAAAATATTTGTTTTTATCTGTTGTATAATAACAATAATAAAAGAAAACGAATTTAAAAATTTATTTTCAGCATTTTTTCCGACTTAATATTACATCAAAAGTTACTTTTCGTATTATACATTTTTTTCTCGTCTATGTCATTTAATGCCGCTAAAATTGCAATAATTGTTTTTTTTCTGTTGTATTGCAGACCAGTAATAAAGTGGGTGATCCCTTTCATAATATATTATCATATTCACACCTAGATGTTTACCCGACTAGGGAATGTCAGGAAGTTTACACCAAGTAAGTGGAATCTTCCTGTCCTTTTTCTACCTACTACTGTTCCAGATATCAGCCGTTATATCTGAATCAGCTACCTTCTGTTAGGACGAAAATCCGACACTGTGCCGGTGTACAACACTAGCCTTATTAAAATGTCAACGTTTATGTCCCCTCACTAATCATTCTGTCACTTGACTTGTAACGAAAGCGCGCCATTCGCGCCAAAGGATCCCAACTAATAATATCTAAAACTTCTTACACAAATTTTGCCTCTTTAACTTCCTACTTTCATGGTTATTTTTTCACAGAGAGTACGTCACGAAGCAAAACTTTTGCGGCGGTTTCTTCTCGAAGGGTGGTGGTGCTTGCAATGTGTGTATTTTATTTAATACTTATTTCTTTTTATTGAAAGATGTGCGGCCTCCATTTTTTTAATGGACGGCGCTATGCCACTCACTCTTTCTCCCCTGGCGTGTTTTAGCCAAAGACATTTTTATTCGTGTTTTTTTTGTGATCTCCATTTAAAATAGAAGTCGCGACTATCGTCGTAAAAAGGAAACACGACTGATATAAGAATGTTGGTGACCACTTGGAAGAAGTGGCTTAGATTTTACCTTCTTTGGACTATTCTAATTCTACGGAATCTTTTCTTGATAGCGTGATGTAGGTGCCCCTGGCATCATAGGAGGGACTCTAGTCGGTGTGGTCAGCTTCGGATCTCCAGTTTGTGGTACACCTGATGCGCCAACCGTCTTCACGAAGGTCGGCTACTACTATCGATGGATAGAGAATATCATGGAAATGGTATAATTTTTTTTAATCTCTTTACGAAGATATTTGAAGAAAAACCTCGTTATATGTTTGTTTGAAAACTAATCTGCAATGGGTTATCGTGATTAAGGCCTATGAATTAATTTAGGGTAGGATCGAGCCACCTCGTTAGTGTTAGGAAGAAAATCAGACAGTGTGCCGGTGTACTTACACAACACTAGCCTTATTAAAATGTCAACGCTTATGTCCATCACTAATCAATCTGACACTTGACTTGTTAACGAAAACGCGCCATTCGCTCTAAATGAGAATAGGAAACTAATAATGTCTAAAAGTAGGGACTTCTATGAGTTGATTAGATCTTTGTTTCGCATGATCATGGCAATAGTTAACTATTAACTTATGCGAAGTATGTTTTTTACAGGATGTGCCTCGTAGTAAAAAGAAAGCAACAACAAAATACACTCTAGATCCCTATGAACAATATTTGACAACGACTCCTGCAACAACGATATTTAAAATAGAGCCTCTATTAGGTGGTAAACCACCTTCTGTACTCGATGATACTGATTACGAAGACAATGAGAATGCATTACGTACACTAGATGATAAATTATTCCAAGAATTTCTAGAAACAATGTTCGGTAGTAAAGAAGTAAAGAAATACGAAGATGTGATACATCAAGATGGGGTTGTTTTAAGAGAGACTAAAGAGAAAAAGACAGTTAAACAAATCGATGTAACAACGACTGAAATATCACTGCAGCCTGTAACATATGCATACGATTCTGATATAGAAAGTCCTCGTACTCAAATCATACCTGTAGATACATATGAAGTAACAGATCCAATACAAGTAACAGAAAACATTGAAGTAGAAGAATCATATAGTAAATACGTTGATCCAAAACATAAATCTAAAATAGAAAGAAATAAACCTAAAGATATTGTCTATGATATACCAGTAACAACTACAGAGGAAGCGCAAGAAATATACCTCGAATTAGCTCCAGATTCCGGTAAAGATTCTCATGATCAATCCAATCAAGAACAATCAATTGACAATCAAGAACAGATTGTTGACCAATCAGAGGCTGTGTCTAAAGGTAAAGAGAGTTCAGAAACATCATCTGCGGATATTAGCGAAATACCAGGAGAAGAAGTGATAGCAGAATTATTAGATGAAATTGATTTTAATCAAATTTTAAGAGAGGTCTCCACTGATGCTACAATACCTAAAAGTTCTCGTCCAGGTTATGCGACTAAATTAGAGAGACATAGATTTTTAAGTACTACTACGGAATCTGCAAACGCTAAATATTATAATATTCCACGTGAATTTAAAAGTGCAGACGGTGTTGTAGAATCTGGTAATAATTCATTATTAACATTATTATACTTATCTGATGGTGAAAAGAAAAGAAATGTCAATAAATATAATTTGAATGTTGAAATTAGTAGAAGTAAAAAAATTAATCCGAGACATTTTAAGAGAGACAATACATTATATAATTTGGGTCCAAAAACTGAACTTTATAGGATTATATCACGCGTTATTGAAGCTGCTATGAGTAATCAAAAATAACGAATCCTCTTGATATAAGAACGTGAATATTAAGCAAGAAAAAAATCTTTGACAATAGTTAATGATATTTTGTCATTAGCAAAAGTTAATGATATTTTGTAATTTAACAAAAAATAATGATGTTTTGGCTAATAAACCAAACTAAAGTCAAAGAAATTAATAGTATTCATTCATATAAGAAATTCTATTTATATTTTTATTAAAGTTAAATGAAATCATTTTATTTTGGGAACAATAATTTATTTATTTTTATATAAAAACAACATTTCAACATAAATAACATATTCATTCAATGATTGCCACAAACATACTCATTTTTACATAATATACATATATCACTTTTAAATATTTTTAATATATTTTCAACACTGCTTTTAGAAGAAAAATTGGAAACATTTGGTAGATAAGAATAGATAGAAGGTAGGAAGGTAGAATTTATTCACTAATCGTGTGACAAGGCAAGTACAAAATATTGTTATCCTGTTTGTTTTTTAAAGGTTTGAGAGTGTTGACATTCTTACTGATGGATCGATGTTAGTCACCCCAAAACGGCTAAAAGGTATTACGCATGGGCTAAAACTTTTTGGCCTAACTTTTTGAAATTCGTGCGGAAGGATTCGCGGGCAAAAGTGGTAACTGTGGGTTTTGGGTATGACACATATTGTCATCTCACTCATTGTCTTCAAATAAAACAGAGACAACATATGCCAATACGGATATTGAAACCCAAAGAATGTTGACCAAACAATTTTATAATGTAAGAAATTTTATGTTGCAACATAATTAACTAATGATCTATGACTTTATATATTTGTACGACAAAATATGTATTTATTTTGCTTTGATATGACAGCTGTGATATTGATGAATGTTTTAATAATTCGACTTATATTTTATGTGATAACATTTTTTTGTCTAGCAACATTGCTGATCTTTTTTCATCAGGAGTCGGTTTTTGTTTGTACTAAGTTTGTTCCTAATTAATTATCGAAATAAATAATGGATAAAATGTGTTTTTTTTATAATTTTTAACTTTGGAAAATGTTTTTTAATGTATGACAAATAAGGTGTCTAAACAAATAATATCTTAACTATTGTTGGAGTTCGAGGATCTTTTATTTTCAGTTTTGTTCTATTCTTTTGCTAACTAGCTATATTAAATCTGTATTTAAATAAAAAATATAACTTCATTTTTGAAATTCTATCCAATGATTTCTACAAGAATATATAGTTTTCTAAATATATCTTTATTACATTTAGATTCTAAATTTCCACAGATAGATAAGTATGTGTTTCAAATAAGATTATTCATAAAACCGCGCCACATTGTGACGTCATAACTGTAACTTTGACAGATTGAGATTCTTTTGACGCACAATCTTATTTGAAACGTAATGTTATAGAGATAAAATGTCATTTGAAGACCGCTTATGCTATTTTTTTTTAATTTTTAAAGCTAACTTTGATTTTACGGTGACATCCAAAGCGACATAGAAATATATAGACAAATTGGTTGATACATTTACACTAAAATATAGAATTTTATCTCTTATAATAATCATAAGAAAATCTCTGGAGCAATAATCTCCTTACATAGTCTGTGAACAATTTTATAAACAAAAAGTACACGAATTAAAAATAATAATATTATTAAATATAATAATAAAATTAAGTGCGCCATTTTGTAATGAAGCATTTTTAAAATGGCGGTAAATGATTATTGTCAATTCAATAGCAAACAATAATAATCCAGTTTTATCACATTTAAACAGTGCACGTATTTAAAAAATAATTTAATACTTTAGTAATTTTTCTAATAAATCAAAAGTACTGAGAGAATAAAGTAAAAATTAAGAAATAATTTTAAAAATTGTCCACGGACTATATTTTTATTTTACAATTTAAAAATATTCTATGAATTATTAACATCGATATTTTATTACATTTCATATTTTATTTTTTGACATAATTTTTTAATATTTTATTTAATTAGGCTTCATACATCAATTATATATCTTAATATATTTACTCATGATAAATAAGGAAAAAAAAAACAAATTACATTAATAATCTATATTTTGGCAGTAATTAAATTCTGTGTTAAAATAAGATATGACCTAAAGGTCTATGTTACCAGGTCATAAAATTAAAAAAAAATCTGTGTGTCTTTACTTTTTTTTTAAATACCTTCAATAATTTTTAGTTATCTGTAAACCACGTACGACGTTTGATGTGTTTGAAAATAAATATTGTTTTTAAATTGTTAAATGTTATAAGTGGCTAGTTTCTTTTAATAATTTGGTAGTGCGTGTTAAACAGTTTTAATTTTTAGCAGTGTAAAACATTCTCAGACATAACAAGATGAACTTAGGTAAGTACAATTTGAATCATAACTTGTTCTCAACTATCTTGCTTTGATGTGTATTTCTCTCGAGAATTTATAATTTTAGGATAGAAATTGTTACATTTAAAAAATGTATTTTACTGCCTTCGAACCTGATACTCGTATCCAAACTGTAAATCATGAGCCTTTATTGATATATCTAAATAAATGCAACCAACATACAAATATCTTCACCAAATGCGTTCTGAACGTAATATTACGTTGATCACGAATGCAAACGTTCAAAAAATGCCATGACACTTTCATATTATACATAGAACATTTAATCTGTGACATAAATGTCAAATTTGACACATTGTTTATGCTCGACGCTTGTCTTTAGTTTCTCAGTTTATTTGAAGTCCCCGTTCTAACTATTCCTAGTCTCGGAATGGAAAAAGACCGCCAACACCACCTGCGTCCCAGTCTGCTAGTTCCACTGGACCGAAGCATTCGTCGAAGAATTGTTCCATTGTCTTATGGAGATGCATGTACGACCTTTCAAAATAATGCCCCTCATCTGGATAGATCTGGAAGAAAGAATTAAAATATTTTACCATCAGATTTTAAAAATACAATATTTATTTAGTCGGAATAAGGAAGGTACTAGATTATGCCAATTCGTTAGCACGTTTAGTTAAATTTCGTTACACAAAAGAGACGAAAGATATAGATATAGAAAGGAAAGAAAAGAGATGGATATACCTGGTGTGTATACAGCGCCTGTGCTCTGACCATCGCGCGTGCTAGAGCAAGAGCATGGTCTGGAGGTGCGCGCTCATCTGCAGTAGCGTGTGCAAGCAGGACCCGCCGCGGTGGTAGATTACCCGCTCGACGCCACACTGCACCTCCAGCTCCGCCCGCAGCCGCGCCACCGTACCTCTCCGTCCAGTATGAGTCTACAACAAACACGGAGTTAACCAACCGTTATATAACAACAATATTAATAATACTACAGCAAAAATGTAAAACATTAGGCCTTACTAAACAAGTTGTAAGAAGATTACGATTTCAGCACGATAAATTGGACGAAGCTGAAGCTTGAAATGACTCTACTGTACTAAGGTCATGGTATTTCACCGTAGGAGTCGGCTAGTTTATATAACCAAAATGTTGAAGTACAAAGAGGGAAGAGGCTTACTATGCCGGCGCAGATCAGCGAGGGGCGCAACTGCGGCTAGACAGCGTGTTACGTTGCGCGCATCGCCCGCTGCCGCCGCAGCAGCAGCGCCGCCGCCGTAGCCGCGCCCCCACAAGCCCACGCGCGACCCGTCTACCATCTTCAAGTTATCGCGCAGGTAGCTGAAAGAAATTGCAATAAATTAAATGTTTTTCAGCCAAACCCAAAGTCTATTTGTATGTCAGAAATCTATATCAAATGATTGCTTAAATGTGGCCGTTAGTGTTACGTTTCTTTTGGCTTCTTTTGGTTTCTTTTGTCAATATTATTCAAAGTCAATTTCTTTAGATCAATCTTTAGGTCAATTTGGTTAGAAATATTCTTGTCTTTATTAATAATGTGTTTTGTAAACCACTTATGTAGAGTTGTTTTTTAGCGTTTACTGAAAATTTTTTACTTAATGACGGATTAGGACTTACGATAGTACAGCTATTTGATCTTCTACGTCTACTGACAGCATCTTCTGGTATATTTCCGTTCTTAGCTCCTCACCCTTTGAACACATTTAAGTTTCTATTAGTAGTATTTACTAATCAACACTATATATCACAATCTGGAGGTAAAAAAAAAACTCAAAAACTACTGACGTGATAGTTTTATTCTTATTCTCCGTGATGGTTGTAGAGTTCATTAAAAAGTTTTCTCACCTGTCCACCAGATCCTCTCGCATCTATCTCAGCCACGATGAAGTTCCTAGCCGAAGCTAGATACCAGCCCCAGTCAGGCCTCCATCTCTCTGTCACTAACTGACCGCCAGGCTCCGCTGAACTGAAACGTTTGTTATTGTTATATGTTCAAGTATCAAGTTCATTCATATTTAAAAAATACTAGGAAATGGTATTGTAACTCACACATGTAAAACCAGCGGTAGGGGCAGGTCATCAGTTTCTCTCAATCCTGGTGGCAGCAGCAGACGAACTCTAGCCTCGCGATGTGCTTGCACCTGAAATAGTCAATGCCAGGCTTATGTAGACTGTTCTTTAGTATAATGTCGAGTCTACTAATGTTTATGGCTGAAAGTGGTTATGGTTGTAGAACCTCAATATATTGGAATTGAAGAGAACTGATATTTTTGGTGATAAAATGGCACGCCTATAGCCAACAGTAGACTTTTGCCTTAAAAGACGATGCTTCATGCATTGTACTAATGTACCCAAATTGTATACATTTTATTTTCTTCACAAAAAATTCAATTTTACGTACTTTTATTCCTACTGACCTCGACTCTAAAAACTTTGAACTGTGGTGTAGCGAGTGCCGCAAACTTCTGCCTTAGTGGCTGACCGTCCCACAGCACGGAGCGTCGCACGCCGTTGGCAGAGCACAGGAAGGTTGCTGGAGGACCCGGACCTAAACATTCCTGTAATACACAAATACCTCTGAAATTTTGAGGAAAAAGGCAAGCAAGCAAACGGCAAACTTCTACATTCTGCAAGGCGTGCTAGTCGACTAGAATTAGATTATGGTTAATAGTGGGTAAAATGACATTGTTATTACTGTGTGAACAACCGTAACAATGTACCATATTGTCATACCTGTACGTAATAAGAGAAGTTCTTGCTGAATATGACCCTGTTGTATAGACACAGTGTGGGCAGAGTATCGTTCTCGTGAGACACGTGCGGCAATACTGTGGACGTTGGCCAGGCGGGGAGAGACGATGTTGAATTCTCGTATTCCTAGAGGATGAGAACATTGATACATTATCCCTGCAGTATCCATTTAAAGTCGAAGAATCGAGTCTTTAATTTGCTAGCAATTACAACTGGTCGACCTCTACTATATATCTGGTTAAACCCGCGCGTAAGATGATTTCAAAAATATCTAGAGTCATTTCGTACCATTTCGTCAACTGGGGGTTCTGTAGTAAGTTGCATTGTGTCAGGCGGCTGAGCGTATGTACAAGTGAGACAGTGCGGAGGTGGAGGCCAGCTACCGTCAGCCGGCACCGACACACGGTACAAGTGTCGCTCGCCTGCCTTCTCAGGAGCCGTGCCTATCACGTATCTGTAATAAGAGTAAAGCTACTAATCTTCCAGAGTAATATTGCTCGCAACTTGGAATTATGTGGTAATTAGCATCCTTACATCCAGCCACACTTTCGCATGTATAAAATGTTAGTAAGATTTTTAAACTATAAGAAGTAAAGCAGAACCTACAAAAGTCTTCTTCTCTCATCCCAACCGGCCAACTGGGTGATTTCAAAGCTGCCTTGAGTCAAGGTTATCCTGGTCTCTGTGGTCAATTGCACCGCGTGTCGCCATATGCCGCCCTGGTCGGTGATAGGCGCGGAGGTAAAAACTCCCGCCGGCCCACCCACTAGTGCACCACCGCCACACCAACCGCACTCTTCCACCGGGTCTGCGCCCAAACCCGACCACCGTGTGCCATCTGACTCGTCACGGAATATCTATTGGTCAAACGAAAAGATTTATAGCTTTCTTTTTCACGTCCGTAATAGGTTTCTATTAATGCAAAAAGGAATTGGAAAGCCTTTACTGGAGGTTGGTCATCAGCTCATTGGATTTCTTCCCTGTCCTGTTCCAAATGATAGGATTATTCAGGTCCAAATGTAAGATTATCTTAATACTAATTTTAAATCTAGTACTGGAGTTGTTATATTATTCTTAGCTGGATCTTACTCCAATATTCAACGTCGAAATGGTTTAACTTCTGGTCAACTGTTTATACTAATAAAATCTTGAATATTCTTACGTCTTGACAGTTGTAATGTACTGCGCTACAGATGCTGATGATGGAAACATTCTGTGGTCGGTTGAGTAGTAGAACTCCGATTTGTTTCTCAGTCAACCAACTTGTCCATCTTACGTACCAACCTAGACAATGTAATAGATTAGTGAAAGTACTTATGATGGATACAATTTGGATAGAATAATATGACTAATTGCGTTGTGGACATACTTTTGTCAACTTGCGACGTAAACTGTATGGGATGCGGGAACAGGAACTTGGGTGTCTTCAAGCTGACCACGTACACCGTTACCATTGGATTGTTGGTATTCACCTGGAATTGTAATTACAGAATTTTTATCTCTTATTATTAACATGAAGATTCACGGATTAAGTCTTAACATTGAAGGTGATAAAATCAAGAACTATTAATAAAATTTCAAAAATATGGTACGTTAGATCCTAATCCAATGTGCACAATAGCGATTTTGAAATCTTTACTTGAAGTATTAGCATTCTCTTTTAATTTGAGCTTCAATGATTACTTGATAAGAGCGTCGGTGGCTCAGGGGTTTAAGCAGTTGACTTGTAATCCGCAGGTCTTTGTTCGAATCCCGCCATGTACCAATGTGTTTTTCGATTTACATATGTACATTTATCCGACGTTCTTACGGTGAAGGAAAACATCGACAAAGATATGTTTGAAGTCAACAAACTCGCACTGGACCAGCGTGTATTGACTATGGCCTAGTCAGGTATGTCTTCATTTTGAGATGTATGGATGAGTAGTGCCTGCATACTGCCGACTCTCCGTAGGGCAAAGGGTAGAATGATTAAACCAATTCATACCTTAGGATACCTAAGCGTCCTAATGGTTGGGTACGCAGGTGGTTCTTGCTGGTCCAACCCGTACCAGGGATACTTGTGTTGTTGTACCAGGCTGTCGTTATATGTCACGTAGAGTAACGTCTGTCCGTCCGGACTGAACCATAATGCACGGTCTAAGCGTAGCACTTCCGTCTCGTAGAGGAAGTCCGGTACACCATTGAAAATAACTCCGGGGATTCCTGCGTACAGACTTGTATTTAAGACGAAAGGGATATCGAAGTTTGAATGGATTGTTTGGAAAATGACATATGTATTCTCATTCTTGTCGTTCTCTTTGAAAATACTGGGATAACAATATTAATAGATGCTAATTTTACAGTAGGATTTAGTTCAACGCGACATATTTCGAACTAGCTGTTGCCCGCGGAATTTGTAAGCGTAGAATAAGAATGTAGCCTTAGTGTCTCCCGGATATATCAGCTACCTTCACGTAAAAGTCCCCTCAAAGTCGGTCTAGCCGTTTAGGTGATTACCCAAAACAAATGCGGATTGGGACAGACAGATAAGAATTCAAAAATGTTTTTTTTCATTATAAGCAACGTAACATGACCTCGAAATATGTTTTATTTTTCGAAATTACATACAGACAATACAATTTTATTTAGATGAATATAATCAATAAGATTACAACGCCTTTGTCGTTTTAGAAATTCGAGTATAGCCTTAGTAAAGTTTACATTAAAACTGAAACGACAAAGTTCTATAATTCAATATAAATTGCATAGAAAATATTCCCTTCCGGAGTCCAACAAAGGAAGTTCTTAATTGTTGTATTGTAGCGCTATTGTGCTGGAAATTTATAACACTATCGAGTGAACAAGTGAACCAATTTCTATTCTATTGTGAATGTAAGAAAAGGTAGCTTATTTTGTTAAAAGTTTTACTTAAATGATTTAGTTGCATTATAATAAATTATGTACAGTCAGCTGCATAAATATTTATACATTTACAAAGCTTAAGAAACTTTTTTACACTTTCGGTTTCTAAAATATGTATACATATTCATCCATATAATTCCGATATGAATACATGTCATTCGAAATTACGTGCATATGTATTTTTTCAAATCGAATTCCTATACAAGTTTCGTAATGGTATACATATTTAAGCACATGACTGTACATTTTAAAATAGTTACTGCAACTAATTTTCAGATGATTAGAATTTTAAATGAATTTCTACGTTGAAAATGTAATTCGATAGCTTAGAAAGTCTGTATTGCATTATAAATTTCTTTGTTCTTTTGTACGAGTATCGATCAACTTGATGACATTCTAGCGAAAGGATACGTTAAATTTGTTATTTATTAAAATAAATGCGAAAGTTTATATAAATGGTAGGATAGGTGGATGGATGAATATTTGTAAGAAGTTATCTCCGGAACGGTTGAACGGATCTTGATGATATTTAACACAGATGTAGAACAGTGTCTGGAAGACACGTAGCATATACTTATTAAGTTATTTAATTCCGTAAGGCGGAGGCGCAGGCGACAGCTAGTTTATATAACTCGATAACGTCCTCTAAAATAAATCAATTAACACAGTATTTCATATCAATTAGTTCATTGGACAAAAGCAGAACAATTCTAAAAACCACGTAAAATTTGTGTCATGAATGACGATGGGGGTTTGAGCCCCTATGCGCTTAAGCCCCCATTGCATCCACCAATAGCTACACAGTATTTGTCATGAACCAAAATATATGTACCCGTATTAGTAATCCTACAGACGAGTGTCTTTAGTATGCGGGGTTTGTAATAGATGTCGTTGTCATGCACGAATACCAGACTAGACCCGACCGGAGACCATTCGGCGTACTGCAGCAGTGGGGCAGATCGGTCGTCTTCAACTGGTGATATTGGTATTTTGTTCCTGAAATATAACAAAAAAGACGTTCTAATTTTGAAAGCTTTAATCAAATAAATCATCGGGTGATGACCAATCGAAGTTGAAAGAACTTTGTGCTATCAACCGATTTGACAGATTTTTAGTATGTTCTTTATTCGAAAATGGATGTTATGCTGGTTTTTAGATGATGTGTTTTTGTTCCGACTACATCTTGAGCTTATTTCCATTATCATTAAACAATTATTTGATTTTAAATTGCCAATATAATGTCATAAATAGTACATTTTCTCAGACAATATAGTGTTTGTGCATTATTGTGTCAGAGTATTTTTTTTTTCTTTCTTTTAACACATTAACTGCCACCGATTCATAGTGTTGGTTTCACATGCAATATTCATAGAATCCTATGTGCTAAACGAATTATTAACTGACCTAGTAATGACGTCATAGACGTGGTAGCGGGCCAGCCTAGCATGTCTCCAGCCTCGCCGGACGTCCGATATGAGTAGTACAAACTTCAGGTCTGCCGATACTTTGAAGTCTACTGCGTTCAACTCCCTCTGGTGATTAAAATATTAATTAATAAATATACAAAAAAGATTTAATAAAATCCTATGTACTATATACACGCGGGACCGCAAAGTTTTTCCGAAACCTTTTTTCTTGGCATGGGATTGAAGCCCTTCTTCTTATAGTGCCATTTTCTTTGGAAGGTCGGCGATCACTAAGGCAACTTGCACCCTTGACACCGCGATTTTGAAAAGCGAACGGGTACTCTTTCCGAACCACTGGCGTAGGTTTTTTAAGGCAGAATGTTCGTCTTCGACCTACACTTCGCATTCCCTGTACGATGGGGGCGCTAGTGTGCTATATTAATTTATGTAGCCCTAAGCACACTTGGTCAGATTACTTTGTCGTTTTAAATTAGGAATGAAAAATTGTTGAAATAACTATAATATATATCGTTTTAGCAATACTTTTATCAAATAAATTATTTTACTTTTCAAATAAATTCACAGTCCAACACGTCGACAATACATCCAACATTCAAGTAACTGATAAATGGCGTGATATTTTCACGTCGGTCAAACTTGATACAGATCCGGCCTATATTATGTAACGGACAGAATTTGGAAACAATTCGTTATTCCCTAGAGATACATCGCTTTTTTATCGTAAACATTTTTAGTATATTTACGTGGTAGGCTTGTAAGATTAAGTGAGATACAAAATGGACCGAACTTGTTTTGGGAAGGTGGTTTTATTTAGCGAATAAATCAACACAAGAAATATAATTTATTTGCAACATCATTAATAAGCCGCTAAGTGAGACCCTTAGTGTAGATTGAGTAAGAGATAATTACAACAAAACCAACACCCGTAACTCAAAGGGGTAGGCAGATGTTACTGATTTGGCTCAGTCCTGCCAAATATATCTCGGTTCTTTTACATTTAGAAATCAAAAATTAGACTCTAAGTTAGACTCTGAGTACGGCTTATTCTTATGTCTATACAAATATTAATTGTTAACATCATTATAGTGTGGGGGTCACAGCCGGAGAATAGTTTTTCAAATAAAACACAGTCTTCTTTAACTTAAATATTTCTTTTGGGATTGTAAACAACAACTTTTTCAAAAACACCGCTGTTACATTGTCTTTTCCATAACCCGAATGTCAGAAAAAACATGGCCATCATTCAGACGAGCAATTACAATACTTTTAATTTACGATAACGAAATACCGTCAGATACTATAGATGTCGGTGGCTCAGGGGTCAAGCACTTGGCTTGCAATCTGCAGGTCCTGGGTTTGAATCCCGCCATGTACCTATGTGTTTTTCGATTTCCGATTTACAAATGTACATTTATCCGACGTTTTTACGGTGAAGGAAAACATCGTGATACAACCTGCACATATCTAAGAAGAAATTCAGAGATATGTGTGAAGTCAACCAACCCGCACTTGGCCAGCGTGGTTGACTATGGCCTAATCACCCTTAACTTAGGGTAGGCTCTGAGCCGCTCGGTGGGGACGTATAGTGAGCTGATGATGATGATGACTGTCAGATAATTAACATGATAATTTGAATACTTTTATTTTATATTTAAGATTCAAATATTTAAATAATCTGTTGAATCGTCATACAAATGATTAATGTTGTTATATTAAATAAACAAGTGTTATTGACTTGTTTTAGGTTAAGGAATTACAGAATATATAAAATGGCGATGAATAGTAATTTTAAACTTGTAGCATATATCGTATTAAGAATAATAAATCAAAATTTGTTTTACAATGACCTAGATATTCTTAGATTTTATTGTTCGTAAGCTACAAAATCTAGTCGATACATATAGATATACTTGTAGCATGTCATAATGTCGGATACGAACGTATCTCTACAAATATTTTCTATCCATCCGACTATCACACCGTTACGGTCATTTTTCACGCAAATTTGTTTGATACACGTTCTTGATTCTATAAATCAATTACGTAATCGTAATCAAATACGTCTTTTGTGTACTACTAGAATATGCTTAGGGTTATTAAAATTATAAAATACTAGCTGTCGCCCGCGACTCCGTCCGCGTGGATATATAAAAAAAACTTAATTAGTGTAGCATATGTGTTCTTTCAGACTATGTTCTATACGTATGCCAAATTTAATCGAGATCCGTTGAGCCGTTCTACAGATATCTTCAAACACCCATCCACATCACATCCATTTAAACATTCGCATTTATAATATTAGTAAGTTAAATAAAAAGCAGTTCTTGATGCAAATGGATAGATATGTCCGTCTCCTGGCTCTAAGCTATCTCCTCACGGATTTTCAGGCATATCGGTAAAGCCGTTCTTGAGTTATAAATAGTGTTACTAACACGACTTTCTTTTATTTATATAGATATTGATTTGATTGAAATATTTTCTGAGTGCGCAAAATAAAAGATTTTATAACAATTGGTTGTGTTTATAAATTTTATAGGAATTACAATTTCAACTTATAACATAAATTATTATATGACATTATTAAATATATTATGTAGCTTAGAATTCTGTATACGTAAAATCTAGTATCAATAAAAAATGAGTCGTTGAATAGAAATAGCAATAAAAATGTTATATTTGTTCACTACAGTGTGATAGAGCGCCATAGTTTTACGAGAAGTCAGCAGTAATAACGTTTTTCCTGATATATTGCGATCGTGATCGCGATACAAAAGGCAAACTCTTTTGTATTAAATCCTCATTTAAATGATGAAAGATAACATCATACTAATATTATAAATGCGAATGTTCCATCTAGGATGAATGGCTGGATGTTTGTTTGAAGGTGTCTCCATAATGGCCTAACATATAGCTTAGACTAACACATAGGTTTTTTATTCCGCGCGGACGTAGTCGCTTGAAAAATAGATAGTAGTGGATTCTCAGATCTACTGAATATGTATATAAAATTTCGTAAAAATCTGTCAAGCTGTTTCAGAGGAGTATGGTAACTAACATTGTGACACGAGAATTTTATATATAATATTAGCCATATATTTTAATTTAAACTTAATTAAATACCGTTTAGAAATTAAATTTAGTAATGTTAGTTTCTCTTGCATCCATCAGCTACCTTCTAGTAAAAGGTTAGTCAAAATTAATCTAGCCGTTTAGAAGATTAGTCGGAACAAACAAAGTTAAAAAATCGACTTTTGCCACGTAAGTAAATCGTGATCGGAAATCACCACACCAATTTTTTTTATCTTATTTTTTGTATACATTGAATGACATTTAAAATACTACAAGATTTAAATTAAGTTATAGTTAAATTCTTACTAAAATAACTCCTTAGTGAAGACTTAGTTGAGAAAACTAAACTAAGGGACTGTAAGTTACCATAACTCTGATCCGCAGTTATTGGATTTAAGAACGGACGAAATGTTGTAGAAATCAATTGCATTAAAATGTAATTTCTTAAGAAACTCCACGTTTATTTTCTTCTCCTTTTAACATAAAACCAGGTCACGAAATATTTCTTTCAAAGTTCTTACAATACGTAAACTGTTAGATGAAAGGTCTTTGTTTTTATCAACAAAAACCATTACTTGTTTTCACAATAGATGAATGAACAGCCTCTAAATGTGTCTTCAGTTCGTTTGTGTTGTTTCGAAGGTATTCGTATATCGACAGCGATAAATTTCGATAAAACGTTCGACTTATATTCGACAAAGCTTTCAATAGGGCGCGTGTTACACCGTAGTGTAAGCTTTTATAACTTCATTGATAGTTAATAAGATTGCTAGACCTTTTTTAACCTACTAATATTATAAACGCGAATGTCTAGATGGATGTGATGTGGATGGATGGGCGTTTGATGATATCTCTAGCGGCTGAACGGAACTCGATTAAATTTGGCATACGTATAGAACATAGTTTGAAAGAACACATATAGGCTACACTAATTAAGTTTTTTTATATCCACGTAGACAGAGTCGCGGGCGACAGTTTGAGTGTTTTTATTAGTTGTTCTGTGATTTTTTTTGTAGAGTTAAATATGTGATAAAATAAAAATAAAAATTTAAGCTCCGCAACGGTGTGATAGTCAGTCGACGTCACGTCACGCATACCCGTGGATTTATCCATTCCCCATACTGATATTTCCGTTGCCTGCGAGTATAGAATTTATTTGCGAACTGAGTTAGGAACTTATAACGTTTTATTTGTTGGAATATGTTACCAGTTTGGTCTATACGGATGTTTACGTTATATTACCGTAAGTTTTCACTGCTAAAACTATTTGTTATTTCTGTTTTTCAAAGATAATAAAAGTAGTAAAGTATGACAGTAAATATTGTACAGTTAGGAGTTTGGTTTTAGTTAGGTTTCTGAGACTAAAAACTCCGTATTAAACATTACTAATATAATACACAATATTATTATATATTAAATAAGAAACACACGATTAACAATATAACTAAGATAGAGATAGTGGGTCAAGAAAGAACTTAATATCATTTGGAGGACTTTCCAGAAGGTAAAAAGGAATTAGAGAAATGAATGAACTGTTACAATTATGAATAGAGTTATACTTACAAATGTAGAGTTATTCATAAGCAGTCTGGTGGTGTAGTTGCGTACGTTGAACAAGGTCAGTCCACCCCAACGGTCACGGAATACTAGCTCCTCGTCTGTAACAAGGAACAAAGTATTAAAGTGTATGAACGTAATACAGAGATGTAATCTCAAACATTGTCATTTAGCACGATCTTGATGTGCGTCGGTGGCTCAAGGATTAAGCACTTGTCTGATCTGCAGATCCTGTGTTGGAATCCCGTGTACCAATGTGATTTTCGATTCATATATTTACATTTAACCGATGTTACGATGAGAAGATCAAAGATATGTGTGTTGTCTGCACTGGACCAGCATTCACTAGTGACCTATTCACTGACTTGGGGTGGGCAAGCCCCTCAGTGGGGACGTAAAGTAAGCTGATGAATGAATAAAATCTTACTTATATTATAAATGCGAAGGTAGATATCAGAACGGCTGAAAGGATCTTGATGAAATTTGGCATAGATATAGAACATAGTCTCCAAAAAAAAAATAGGCTACTAATTATGTTTTTTTAAGTCGCGGGCGACAGCTAGTCCTATATAAATCTTCACTAATATCAGTATTTATATGTATATCAGAACAACAAAGTAAAGTGAGCACAGTAAACACGTCAGGAAGGAGGTATTTGTCACTCTGCGGGACGGCGCTATCCATCACGCGAGCTCTACTCCTATATAGAATGGCTTTTCCTTGACTGATACACACGGTCGTAAAGATTGTAATACATCTAGCTAACGTTTAAAGTTGAGAATTTTCATTTTGTATTTGTTTCTTTAAACCTTTGAAAGTGCTTTGAAATATTTATGCATGTTGATGTTTGTTTGAAGGTATCTCTAGAACCGGATGCTTGAATCTCGCTGAAATTTGGCATAAATGTAGAACATAGTCTGGAGGAACACATAGGCTACAACTTTTTTTAATTCCGTGAGAACGGAGTCAAGGGCGACAGCTAGTATTATAAATTGATAGATTTTAAATAGTTGATGTCATTTGTTTCATATCCTTTCCATGAACTTTCGAAGGTTATCGATCATAAGAGCAACTTGTGCTCTTGATACCGCGGCTCTGAAAAGCTAATGGTGCTCCTGCCGAGCCCCTGGTATAGGTCCTTAAGTCAGGATGCATGTTTTTTTTAAAGTTTTTTTTTGAGATACCAGGTATGTATGTTGGCTTTCGCCATCCTATTTATATTTTATTACTCAAGCCTATAGTAAAGGGGTATTTGTTAAGCTAGAATTAAAGATTTTTCGGTCACATCATAATCTTATATCAAACGGGATCGTCATCACTCGTTTCTTTAAATAAATATATCTTCTACATTCTTATAAGCCGTGTGTACGTATCGTTTGCACGTCACTTGTCGCGTAAGAGTGATGGCTCGGTCTAATTGAGATTTAATACGTGAGCGTGCGTTCAATCAGACATTAATGGAAAAAATATTGACCTAACAAGATTACTTCGCACATGTCAACTAAGAAACTATATTGTAACTTGGAGATAACTTAACTAAGCCTAAGTAATTGCTTTTTTTCCATGGACAATATGTTTCACATTAATGTATGTTTTATGTATGTATGTGTAAACGCCTGTATGGCTTCTGAGTCCAAAGTGTCTGTAACATAATGTCATCCCTGTCATTATTTTTGACAAAACAGATATAACAGTTTTAAACTGAGTCTCAGAAACCCACGGTGAATCAATTTAGATAAGTGTGACGTCATTAAATGAGTCTTCATTCGAGTTTTTTTAATTATTTCCGTTTAGAACATAACTTATTGCACACTATGTTAATTAATATTGCATTGTATTATACTCAAAATAATACAAGACCATACTATAATGACGTCACATCCTGTTTAAAATATTTTCGATGACAATCATCGGTTTTTGTTTATAAAGTTAATTTCAGAATATTTATATCATATTAATCAGTTAACACAGAATAATTTAATGTTATTTTATTATATTAATGAATATAAAGTAAGCAAGATTATTCAATCATAATTATATATTACTGTTTTATTAATCATGTTTTTGCGTCTGCATTTGCTCACTTGATTGCGTGTATTAAGTAAACAAGGATGTTTATTCAATAAGCGATTTGTTTGTCTATTGGAAATACGTGAGCGTGTCGTTGTGTGCATATGCTAAGCATGCGTGCGAGTGCTTTGCATGCATGGGTATTTCATGCGCGTGCATGGACAGTCAAGGTATTAAATTCGCTTTCCATTTAAGAATAGTTCCAGTAATCATTAAGTTTTTTTTTAATTCCGTGCAGAAGGAATCAAGGTCAATAGCTAGTTATTTTATAAATTATATTTTGAAAGCTTTCCGTTCGCTTTAATAGTTCAGGTTTTTAGTTGGTTATTTTAAATTTAAGCTAAAGGTCACAATTCCTAAGTCAGTGCGGTCAAAATGGATGCCATTAATTGAGGTCAGTTCTACACATCCGGGCCGGTGATAAATTAAGGGCTGTCACAAACCGTTTACCAGCTTCGAGCTTTCAGTGTGAATTAAATTTCTATAAATTGTTATTCTGAATAGCACTGACTTTAGCATTTGTTTTTTTTTTTACATCTATCTAAATCTGTGTAATCCTTTATTTAGTAATCTACCCGATAGTTTTTACTGTAGGTATAGTTTACAAATTTTTTTTTCTTTATTCTTTGCTTGGCTTCTTATCTAGGTTAACCTGAATTTAAGGAGCCAATGATTTTCCCTTTTAGTGCATTTTACAAAATAGGTAATGAAAGTAATACAGATAGTGTTAGGAAGAAAATCCGACACTGTGTCGGTGTAGCGGCGCAACACTAGCCTTACTAAAATGTTGATGTTTATGTCCCCTCACTAATCATTCTGACACTTAACTTTGTAACCAAAGCGTGCCATTCGCTCCAAATGATTCAAACTAATAATGTTTAAAAATACATAACAATATTAGAGTAATAATTCTTTGATTTCTAAAAGAATTTGGGAGTGGTATGACAATTATCAAACATGTCCCAGAATATATATTTTCGAAGTGAAAATCGAGGGTTAATTCAAAATGCAAATTTTACTTGTACTTTGTACTCCTTGGTGTTAATTTTTCAATTAATAGTGCCAGTAAATTGGAAATCGCAATCTATTTAATTGAAAGCTATCACTCTGATTGATCGGGCGTGATTGTTGCGCTGCGTCGGGTTGAAAAATCAATCAATGGATTCATGTTGGAAAATTCAATTTTGTTTTGAATGCCAATAGTATTTGAAGTTTTTAAAATTCTTTAACAACTTTTTTGTAAGGAAGAATATTGTTAAAAGTTACCTAAAAATAGATACCTTTCCGTTTAAATATAATATTTAATGATAGAATTAGGAAGTTAATTAATACTTTTGGGCAGGAATTGAACAGACGACTGAATACGGTACTCTGTAATTTTAACAAGTGTGCCTATGGCGCTAAAATCTATAAAATAAAATTGGATTGTCTGTATGTGATATTGAAAATAAAATCATAATTCGTACACGATATTCGTTGCCGATAACGAAAACCTAATTTTAAAAATGTTTGTCTATCTGTCTGTCCGAAAGGCCGTGTTTGTTTCGGGTAATATCCGTAAAGCAGGACTGGATTTTTAATGAGGATACTTATATGATGTCTAAGAAATATTATACTTCTAATCTTACGCTGACGATGTCACGGGCGACAGCTAGTATACCATGTGAATGGAGTAGTCATTAAATGCTTATCATCCTTTAAAATTCAAAACGAAAAAATATATCAAAAGGCTTACAACAAGTAGTGAATTTTTAAAAACCTACAAAGTACCCTCTTCACAATCTGCGCTCCTAGTACTTAAAACTTCACCAAGGACTTTATGAAAACTTTATTATTACACAAATGTAAATAATAATCTATATTTTCTTTTTTTCTAAACATAAAATTAAGGCTAATAAACAAAAAGAAAAAAAGTAAAGTTGTCAAAAAAAATGAGTGAGCGACGGGCCGCGTCCGCAAAATAATACCAGTGCCACTCATCCTGATGAAGGGCCCCCGATGGGCTCGAAACTAGTCGGTGCCGCCACCGGACGTATATACATACGTGAGTGTTTAGCCGTGTTTATATATCAGTTTAGTATAATGTCTCACGAAAGTTTGAATAATTTAAAAAAAAATGAGTGTTTAATGGTGTTGGTTTAATTTTTACTTCCGGCCGATTGCCTTTCGCCTACTTATATCAATTAGGTAATAATTTAAAAAAATGAACATATACTGTAAATGAATCGTCTACAATACCCTATAAAATCGATTTCATCGTTTATTCTGATCCCATAAAAGATATTAAAATTAATTGTATTATAAACGATTTCTATTCTTGCGTATCCTTTCAGTGGAACTGCACCTTAACATGCCAGCTTGGAATGAAAAATGACTTTAGTTTGCTTTTTTTATCCATCGCCGAATGGATTTACGTCGCAATCCGTGAATTTATTGCTGTTAAGAGAATTGTTTCGTCAATCTAATAAACTTTGAATTTATATTCGTATTGTCTTTTACAATTGCATTCGATTTAAGAACAGATTTATAGTGAATTCATTTTACGAGGCAATGTACAGAGTTTTGTATGATTTCATTGAATTGAAAATGGTAATATCAAATGCCAATTGCCCATTTATAGTACGGATTACAAAGTAAATTCGTGAATTCGAATCTAATATACATATAATATAATATATGTAAGTTTTTAACAATGGTAGAGCCGACTTTAACATCTTCGCATAAATGGGCCGGTACACCCGGTGCTACGACCACACAGAAGACAGCCGTGAATTGGAAGCAATTCCGCGTATCGTCTGATGAGTGTGCGTCCCGGAGGTCTGATTTTAGTTCTCTTTCCCTTTCCACCCATTTTATTATAAGGAAGGGATGGGAAGTGGAAGTGGATTTTCCGGATGGGAGGATGCATGGGAAGGGAAATTATTCTCTTTCTATGCATCCCTTCCGTCGATTAAACGTAGGCAAAGCATATGCCACGCATTTCCCACCTTATGATATAAAAAGTAAATGTTAACATTAATTACAATGAGTT